CAGGTTAACCTTATAATCTCACAAATGAAGAGACAGGTAAAAATATGCCTCCCCTGCAAGAGTCTATACAAATAAGAACCATACACTCGGTTCAGGACAGCAAAGTCCAACTCCTTCACAGCTTTCATGAGCATGGCATTGTTGCTACACGCAGGCAAGGCAATCTACATCCTGGGTGTTGTGCCTAACACCTAGTTGCATGTAACCTTAAAATAGTGTAGGCACCCTAGGCTCTGGAAATGCTGTTTACCTAGGAAACAAGAAGGGAACTAACATAGACTGTGCAGAAAAGATAGGGTGGAATTCAGCATTTATAAGGCTACCATACGTCCAGATTTCCCAGACATTAAAGGTAAAGGGACTCCTGACCATTAGGTCCAGTCGTGGCCAACTCTGGGGTTGCGGCGCTCATCTCGCTTTATTGGCCGAGGGAGCCGGCGTACAGCTTCCGGGTCATGTGGCCAGCATGACTAAGCCGCTTCTAGTGAACCAGAGCAGCGCACGGAAACGCCATTTACCTTCCCGCCGGAGCGGTACCTATTTATCTACTTGCACTTTGACGTGCTTTCAAACTGCTAGGTTGGCAGGAGCAGGGACTGAGCAACGGGAGCTCACCCCGTCGCGGGGATTCAAACTGCCGACCTCTGTTCGGCAAGTCCTAGGCTCTGTGGTTTAACCCACAGCGCCACCCGCAGCCCTCTCCCAGACATTACAGGGATTTCAAAGGTGGAGTTGATGTCTGGGGGGAATTTCCGAAAGGTGGTGCTTCGTCCTGGATTCCTGGATCTTAACAACTTTGTTTTTTTTTTTATGTACAAATATTATTTATTTGTGTAACTGAAGCCATTGCAAAAAAACAAAATAGATAAAAAAAGAATTAAATGCATTACACAGCTAAACTATTTATTAAAACCAGGCATTCTGTCATCAGAGTCTGCTGCTCGGAAGCATTTTAACTATCAACCCTACAAACTTTTCTCCCTAAAACTGCTGCTCTAAAGGCAAAAGAAGTGCTGTGTGCACAGAGGGGTGTGTGGAGGAACTAGCCAACTGTAGGAAGCTAGATGCAAAATGGACACCAGCTGCTCATGCCCATTTTTTCCTCTGGCTCCACCCAACATTGCCATGTGTCTCTTGGAAGGTCCGAAAGATGGGAACCTGGCTCTCCGTCTGAAAGTGGTTCCCCACCCCTGCTCTTGGGGTCTCCCAGCGACACAGGAGACACAGAACAAGCAGGGAAAGTTGTCATTATTTTAGTTGATGTCTGGGGGAATTTCCGAAAGGTGGTGCTTCGTCCTGGATTCCTGGATCTTAACAACTTTGTTAAGCTCAACAACTGGAGCTCAACAACTTTTAGGGTGTCCTGATTTTTACTCTTTGAAATATTGCAACCCTAGTGTTGCACTACGATGCATGTTGTTTCAGCTTGCTAAATGAAATAGTCCCCTCTCTCCTCCCTCTTGTGCACTGCTCTGTGGGTTCGTCCAAGCCCCCAAACCCAAGCCAAATCCACCTGAACATATTCCTCAAGTAAAGTTCAGGAGATTATTAATGTTGTAAACTTTTTTTTCATTTCCTAATAAATTAGCATTTTCTGATACCACTGCTCTTGATTTGATTAACGTTTCTGGAAATTCTGTGTCAAGTCAAATAAAGGTTTTAATACATCAGCTTCCCATTCTAGAAAGTCACCTCCTGGTATTAAATAATTTTGAACGCAATTCATATGCTATGCAACACCAAATAAATCCACAGATGTTCAGATGGATATGGGTTTATTTGGTATTCATTAAAATTTGATTTATTGGGGAAATAGCCAGTTTTCGAAACAGCAAAAGGTTGAACGAGGGTCCCCCGAAAACATTGACCATGACTTTAATTATGATAGGAGCTGCACCGTACACATGTATTGGTTTGTTTTTGATAGCTTTCTGCCCTCACAACCCAATCACAATAGATAGTATGAGGGGAACCTATGAGGAAAACATTGGTTGAACTTTCCCACTCCCTCTTTCTAGGCTTTTTAAAAAAGGGGTGTGTGTGTTAGATCTAATAAATACTTAGAGCTGGTTCTTGGTTTCTCCCTTGAGTGCAAGAATGTTAGCCATTTCTCCTTAATGAAATGTCATGCCCCTGAAGAATGTGTGTGAATAATCCACAAATATGCATGTGATCCATAGGTCTTTCATTCCCTAGTCCCAACTGGCATCCTGCGGGGAGGAAAGAGTGTTGGTGTGTCTAAGATTATGGGACTGGCTGCCTGGTAACCGTTCTTTAAGTACAGAAAACAAAAGCCCCATTTTGTTTTCGATTCTGTTAAACAATTGGGAATGAGAAGCCAATCACACAAATCACCCAAAGATCTATTAGTAGATTCCACTGCCCATCCCCTAGTATAGGGGTTCCCAACTTTGGGTCAAGGAGCACCAGTGATTTGCAGGTTTTCTTCATGAGATCTGTTGCGTGTCTGTAAAAATACAATTAAAAATTCTACAGCACCTAGCACAGCACATTACAGCTGCTACAAGAGAAAGAAATTTTTTTAAGCGGTCTGCCAAGACCCTGAGCAATTTTCACGTGGGTAAAAGAGTTTAGGAACCATTTCAGTTTCCCAGGCAAAAATCCCCCGTCAGGGAGACGAAAGCAGTTTGTATCCAGGACCAGAGGCTAGGCAGATCCAGAAAGCCTTTAATCTAAAGGGCATCTTACACAAGCAAGGCACCTGTATGAAAGGCAGAAATAAAGCAGAAAATCCATCTCTGTTTGCTGATTCATTACAGCATTTGACACTCAGAACACATGCATTGATTATCTTTCGTGCAATGCAATCTTTTTAAAAACGATGCTTTATGATTCCCTTCAATACCAGTGGATTGTAGAATTATTTCTGGGAAGTCTACTCAAAGATGACAACTTACTTTAAAAAAAAAAAACCAACGCCCTTTCATATGCAGCCGCTCGAAGTGTCATTTTGACTTGCCAAGTACAAAAAGCAGGAAAGGACAATTACATTTTAACATTAAGATGCCAAATACAGAGCCTAGAAATAATAGATTACAGTATAATCAGAGCTGACTTTACCAGCTCCAAGAGAATTACACCGGTCATGGATACCATTTGGATCTGAAGGGAAATTGTAGCGTAAGCTGCTACTGCCCTCTTGAGGTTTCCAAAAACCTGCTCAGAAAGAGAGTCGCATGCTAAATGCAGTTCCACGATTCCTTCCAGAGACTGTTTCGTGTTGTTTTGATAGAATACCGTCACCGATACTGCCATTTGAAGGGGAAGTGGAACACCGGAAGAGAGAGTTCCTAATCTATTCTCCCAAGCCTGTCTTACTGTTTTTACTTCCACTAGAAAGAGATTGATGCCTGTATGTTTTTCCCCAGGGTTGTATGGGGTGTTAGGAGAGAGGCAGCACCTCTAGTAGGGGACATGTCATGCTCCTTTAGGGGTAGTTTGCCCACCTTTTGTCCCACCTACAAGCAGCTCCCCCTTGTGGCTCCTAGACGCTGTCAGCATGTGACTGTGGCCACATCCCAGGAACGGCTTTGGCTAGCCAGCTAAGCCAGATAAGGGTAGCCGATAGGTCTCAAACTCTCATTGACTTAGGGACTTCCCCTGGATGCTAAGACAGGTCCCAGTGGGTTGAGCAGATGAGCCAATAGTGGGTCCATTGGCCAAGAAGGCGGTTTCTGCATGTGCTGTAGAGAGGTGAAGGGGAGATGGGGGCTTGTCAACCTGGGAAGGTAGCCCATCTAGGAGAAGGAAAACTCTGGTCCTAAACCTCCACTTCCTTGCGGGATTTCTTCAGGAGAAGAAAAAGCTAAGGAGTAAACCCTACACAAATCTGGAGTGGAGTCCCTAAGATGGTTGGATGGCATGTTGTACGTCTCCTCCTGGAAACTCCTGCAGCCAAGCAATTGTCAAAAGTATTGCTCTGCTTTCCTTTGGACCGCACCAGTGAGGCAGAGAGGGGAGTGTTAGCCAAAGACCTCCATACACAGTGCCCAGGCTTGAGCCTGGGAAGGTCACTTGGGTGCTGCTAATGCAGCAGTTTGATTTCACGCCACCACCCACCACCCCAGAGGTGCACTCCATTGTCTCTTGAGACAGATGGATGCCAACAAATTTTCCCCAGTTGGTTTTATCTTCCCCAGTGAAGAGAAAAGCAGCTGACAGATGATGGGTGAGGGACAAAGGAACCTGATGGAGCTGCTGGACTTTCAGTAAAGCCAATGCAGTGTCTCTGCTTCCCATCTCTCTCTCTCTCTCCTGCAACCTCCCTTCAAATGAGTTTAGAATTCATCCAGCCCTAAATCTGTGTCACTATGCCTTCCAGTCACGCTGGACCAAAAGAGATAGTAAAATTATTTCCCATGTATTAGGTATTTCACTTTAGGATAGGACACTGGTGTCAGACAATAAGACCAATCTGGGTGGATAGAATACACAAAGGTACTGATCGGCCAAGGGGAAGCAAAGTTCACATTCCCTCCTGGCTAGTATCACAGCTACCTAGAATATCTTTAAGTGTTACATCCATAACAGCGATAGAGCTAAGGGACTAGATCACATGAGAATGAGAGAGTTAAAATGGACAACATTTAGATTTAGGCAGGGAATCTGTGGCTCAAAAGCAGTTCAAGTTAGGCAAATTCTTTGAGAAAAAGGCCAATGTGTTGGTGACAAGAATAGACATACTGTTCCCAGAGTCAATGATGCTAGGTACAGTAACTTTTTTTTCCTTGCACTTTAGTGCTGAGACCCATCTCAAGGGCTAGATGAAAACATTTGGGAGTATGTAGTTTGAGCTCAATTCAGGTCCTTTTGCTCAAACTTACACTAGCCAGCAACAGCCTGCCAAGTGTGGTTGTGAGTTCTGCTAGGGGGAAACGGTATAAGATTGTTTACATATAAGAATACGTTTTTTATTTATTAAATGATTATGATCAAATTCAGCTATTGCATATAGACATAGGCTTACAAATGCAACCATCTGTTCTAGACATAAAAACTTTATTATTAAAAAGCAAATATATTTTTTCTCAAGGAAACAAAGCTAAAACTGAGTATTACCAGATTTATTACAATTATGGTGTGTACTGTGTAATACTGCTTCAACAAGAATCATAAACTGCATAATTTATAACAAAACAGAAGCAGAACAAAAAAACAAGCACCACACAATGTCATAACATTATATGGCTATAATAAAATAAGCATACTTTACTTATGGAAATAGGCAGCAATATGTTTTTGTTTATGGTACTATACTATGTGTTTTTCCCTGTGTAGACACTGTAGACAGGTGTAGGACATCAATTTTTCTCCTCTGTTTTAAAAACACCCAGATTTGATAGTGTTTTAATTAAGTGTAGTAATTACAGGCTTTGCCAGAGATTATCCAAATGATTGTCAAATTGTAAACTCTGGATAACAATTGACAAATTTGTTTCAATTTTTGCTTGTTAAACTTCACTTAGAAAATATAGAAAAGATTTCCTAACAAAAAACCAACAAAAATGAACACTTACTAAACCATCAACATACAACTGATTGCAGAAAATAAATATTTTTCGATTTCAAGAAATTGGATTTATAGCATTTTATAGTCAGTTTCTTTGTTCTTTTCTAGCCAAGAAGAATAAACATGAATATGCCAGAAGGCAAATCATGAAAGCCCATTGCTGACAATAGACTTTTTTTTTACAACATTTAGTGTTTCTGCAGTGCAAGCCAGAATAGTAATTTCGACTGTTCAAATATAAAATATAGTACAAAGTTATAATCAATGGACTAAGACAAATTACAGTATCATGGAAACCAAAAAAGCTCCCCCCCCCCCCGAATTATATCCCAGTTTGGTTTACTTTTCCAAACTGTAGTTTGTACTTAGGCCTTTGATGTGCTCTTTTTCTGAAAACTACACTACTTTAAGATGTAGTTAGGCAGCTTGCAACCCATCAGAGCATTTGTTTTACAAGTACATCAAATGGAAAATAAAGCTGAAATGTTGATTCAGCTAATCAACATCTGTTGCACTCCACACTTAGGCAGCACTTGATACAGCAAGTTTCTTCAAATGATCCATGAAAACCTGCAAACTGACATCGTCTGTGAGAATGGGTGCTCCAGATTCCTATAAGAAAAGGGAAAGCGTTAGAAAATACGTCAAATTCATTAAGCAAAGCCAAAATATTCCATGAGAACATGTACTATGAAAATCAGTAAGTCTAATCACTGTAATTAAGTAACCAATATACCTCCACATTTCCCTTTACTAGACAATTAACAGCTGTTCCAATAGGGGCAACGGCAGTCGCAAGGAGGAAAAATGGGCGATCAATGGCTTCTCCTAACTGGCAACTGTCCCCTCAGCAAATATAGAGAAGACAGGCAGCAGAAAGGAACAAAGAAATAAGAAAGAACGCAGAGAAGCTTCAAGGCACAAGAGGAGCAGAAAAAGCAAGAAGAGAAAGAGAGGATTTTATTTATTTTTTACAAAGTAGGGAAAAGTTGACAAGAGAAGCAAAGCGCAGTAAACATGCACACAGAGGAACCGCAGGAAAGAAATGGAAAATATTGAAAGGGAAAAAACAGTTAACTGACAGGAACAGAGAGAGTCGGGAGGAACGAGCTGTTTCACCAAGGCAGGAGAGAAAAAACTAGGGGATTCACTCCAGTTCTGCTCTCCTGCCTTCCTCATAGCTTGTGATCATTACCCAACCCAGTTAATCCTTCCTTATCCCACTGAAAAACAACTTCTGAACCTGGTGTTATTAGTTTAGCTGGAATGTAGGAATCTGCCACATAGCAACTCAGATACAGTTGTACCTTGGTTGCTGAATTCCCTGGAACTCCTACGTTTCGGCTCCCAATCAACTGAAAACCGGAAGTGAGTGCTCCATTCTGAACGATTTTCAGAAGCTGAACGTCCAGTGTGGTTTCCACGGCTTCTGATAGGCTGCAGGATGGTGCTGCAGCCAATCAGAAGCCATGCCTTGGTTTTCGAATGGTTTGGGGAGTCAAACGGACTCCCAGAACGCATTCTGTTCAAAAACCAAGGTACGGCTGTAATTGGCCCACCTTCCTCAATATTGTCTGCACTGTATAGTCTACAGTGTCTATGAGGAGTAATAGTGATTCTCCAGGGTTTCAGAAGTATTTTCCTGCGACCTTTTGCATATTAAGCATGTGAACTACAGCCATAGTCCTAGACCCTCCATGAATCTGCTAACCTTTCTTTAAGATCCAATGATAATGAATTTCATACAATATAAGCTTTTAGGCTGTCTCCACTATTCGGTTTCATCAACAAAATTAGCTTCAGTACATTTTCTACTGAGAACAATCTTCACCTCTACTTATTTTTTTTAAGGCCTTTGAATATTTTGTATCATATCAGAACTCCCAGAAGGAGAAAAACACATTGTTTCTAGGCTGCGAGAAATGCTTATTTTTAAGGGCAACAAAAAAAGCAACATAGCATTTCCTTAATCTGGATGGCAACTTTTAAAAATACTGTATTGTTTTTGACATTCAAGTTTTAATATTGGTAATCACTCCCTATCTGATTAACTATCAAATTGTTTTATGAGAGTTAAAGCAGGAAACATTATTTCTTTTATCTTAGCCTTTTGGTTAATCCACCTGAAACTTACCTGACCCCAGGCATACATATTATTGTGGGTCTGAGAGGGATTCACTTTAGAAAGCAGAAAACGAGCCTTTAAAAAAAAAAAGGAGAATAAAGTTATTCTAAATAAGGTTTACAGTCCAACAAGAATGGACTTTATTTACACTTCAACAAGAATGACCATCATGTGACCTGCCATTTGCAGGCTGCCCTGAGTTGCCTGTTATATAGTTTGCATTCAGAGAATTATATATCTCTTTTTTTTAAGCATTTAGCTTTTGTTAAGTATGAAATATTAAAAAGTGCTAAGGGAGCAGCAACAAGGAATAAATGTACACAGCCCTACCACATATAGGGCCCTGTGGGGCGGTGGGAGGAGGCACCTCTCTTTGGGGTGGAGAGGCAGCTCAGAGACCAGGGGTGGCAGCTGCAGCTTTCCAAAGGAGAGGTGAGGGGAGAGGAGGCTGAGGGAACACTCCACAAGGGAGGGTGTTTGAAAAAGGGTGAGAGGCTGCCAGCTCTGTAGGCAAGAGGTGACATAACTGAGCTCCTGAGCCCCACAGGGGTGCTGCAGAAAGAATGCAGTAGGTCAAGGGAGATGTGGACCCCCAAAAATTGAAAACCTCTGCCATAAACTGAAGCAACGGTGCTTTACCTGACTGCCTCCATGCTCTGTATCTATGTATCGTGGCATTGGAAATCTGGAATGAAGAATTTCCTGTGCATCATCTGATGGAGCCTGGAGCAAATGGCGGAAGTTTTCGTACTCTGGCATGTCCTGGTAGCCTGACTTGCGCCACTGAGCTATGGTCTATAGAGCATTAAACACACATTGTTTTATTCATCCAAACAAGTTTTATATAATCTAGTTTGAGCAGGAAGCAGTAAGAAATCTTGGGGAACCGGTCAGTTAATTAATGTTTTAGCAGTGATTTAATCACCAGAATTACACTATTGTAATTATATTTTTACCAAGAGCAAATAATAACTGTGATATTCCATTATGTTCTGAATAACAAATGCTCAATAGTTTCTCATTTTTCAAGCAGCAGCTCTGTCACAGCAATCATATACGACACCTAGTGCCATCATCCTCAGTGGAAGTAAGCCGTAGTAAGCAGTCATAGAATTGCCTACTTAGTGTTATTTGTTAACTGAAATGCGAGAATGTATGTTTACTGACAATAGCATCTTCCATAAATAAAGCAGGTAGCAAACGTATTAGCTTTCAAGGCCTCAACTTATAAGGATTTTTGCACATAAGCACTTTCATAGAAAATTCAAGTACCATGATGGCCTTGAGAAGCTACCAATATGGGCACGTGACAGAGCTCTACCCAAAAGGCTCTGCGATGGCCTCTGCAATGTAACAGTAAGGTTTCTGAGCCCTCCTCTTCCCAGAAGCAACTCCACATGACAAGCAGCTCCTAAAACTAGACAAAGCATAAGAAATGGCCTCCAATACAGAGCTATTGCCATGTGTGGGTGACAGCCACTAGTTTTAATAAGAATGCCCAAATAGTAGGCTATGGAAGCCAAAGTGACTTGATCTTACCTCTCCATGATAAATAAGGATCTGGAAAAAGGTGTCCATGAGAAGAATGCGATCAGGCAGAATACTGCTGCTATCTAAAAGAACAGGCTAATATAAAAGGAGAAAAGTGTCTTAACTACATATGCAAAACAGAGAAATCCATTTCTTAAAATTCAGCTTTCTCTGTTACATTTAGCAAGCCACATAACATGAGGAAGCAATTGCTCCCAAAATTTTCCTGTGCAAAACTGCTTTACATTTAATTTAAAGCGTTAATTTAGTTTGAAATTATTTTCCCAACAATGCACTAATGAGTCTTCTTCATTTTCAAGTTTTCTTTTTTCAGCTATTCATACACACAAGGTCATACATGCCAACATACCTCTGGGGGTCCATTGAAAGAATAGGCATATAGAATTGGCTGGACCATTATAAGGGACTGAGTCAGATCTTGCCGCATGAAATGATGGCGATAGTAGGAACTTTCATCAGGACTGTTGTTGAAGACTTGCAAGAAAGGAGATCTTCTTAAATGGAACATAAACTGCAAAATAAAACAAACCAGAAATTCCCCCAATGTTTCTTGTCCACAAACCCAGCTGCATCAACAGTAGCAATGTTTCTTTCCAAAAAGATTTGATACTGGTTTATGTCACTGAGTTTAGTGACATCATCTAGCTTTTCTGGGACATAAAGAAAGACAACCTCCAAATTGGTAGGGTAACAATGCTGATAGCAAGGAAAAGACCAGGTGTTACCTATGTGGCCAACAAAATGATAGAAAATCGTAGAAAAAAATGTATTTCAATTTTGTCTGTTCATTGGACAGTAGTCTAATACAGTTGTGAAATGAGGTGTTTAGGGCTGCAAGTCCTGTGAAAATTGTTGATATTGCATGTAATTTACAACTTATGATTACTGCACTGTTATACTTGTATGTATGCTACTGGTATAATGTGCCGTTTTATGTTTAAAAAGCGCACACACTGTTCTTGTAGGTGTTGTATACTTTTTTATTGTGGACCCAAATTGCCCTTGGTGATCTTTTTGCAGTTATGTTTTTTTACTGAAAAAGGAAAATTCTCAATGAAGGCATAATTTTTAAACATGAAAAATCATGTTATAGTCAATATCACACTTAGATGTTTATATTTATAGCATGGTTTATATTTATATAAATGTTCTTGAGTGTTTAAATTTATGACAGTCTTGTAGCACATTTGATCCCAAAACTAGAATGATACAGTATTTTTTTAAAGTAGTGATTTAAAAGTCTAAGAAATTCAGAACAGCCAAAGTTAAAAGGCTTAGAATGAGAAATACTATTCAGTTTTATGTTGTACTGCTTCACAAATCCCAAAATGCTAGCATGAAGCATAACTTTTTTAAAAACTGCAATCTAATCAAGGACACTTGGACATCTTACAATAAAGTGAATATAAGCATCATACTGGATATAGAATGTTCTCTATTTCAGTTCATTCATACTCACCTGTGGGTAAAGGGAAAAGGTTTCTGAAAATCTGAAGGAACTTGGATCATCCTTGTGATATTCTCCAAATTTCTGACACTGGATAAATTTTAAAAGTCTTTAAGTTTTCAGTGTGACACTTCAAATACTATCACGACATTTTCAAAAATATATACTTCTACTTTCACTACATTACAAAACAACTTAACTTCACAGAAGTAGCATGGGGAGCATGCTTCATTCAATACCAAATGTTTAAGACCCATAGATTTTAGTGGAAAAATTCACATCAACTTTAACAGTTAGGAACAAGCTTAATGTTTGTATATTATTTTTCGGCTCTCAAAAGAGGGAGGAATACAACTGAGGCTTCCAGACAATTAAGTTTTACTTGAGCAGTATATCTATTGAGAAAAAAAATGACTTTTAAAATTGTGGAGTGAAGCTTTGAAATTAGTTAGAGGTAATTATGACAAGCAAAACCTTATTTATGTTGGCACTTTATAGTACAAAGTAGATCCACTGTGAAAAGCCTTCTTTATCATCTTTCTAATATCTTTCAACAAGTTCCTTTGCAACTTTATACACTGTATATAAGCCAGCCAAATTTACATCTAGCACCAGAAGCACATAAAACTATTCAAAATATACATTTCTCAAAATGTAACTATGTATCAGATTGCCATCTTAGGAACAAACTAGATGCGGCATCATTCCCACAATCATCAGTTGCACAAATGTTTGTTGGTTTTTTAAAGTAAATAATAGGAGCAGTAGCCCATTCTGGATCAGGACCTCTACATCTGCTATTTGCACTGGGGGCAGAGAAGGCAGATACATGTCCCAGGTCCGGTCCTATTCTCTCCCTAAATACAATCTCAGATGGGAGGAGGAATCAATATTTTCAAGCATTTGTAATGCCTTACCAGTCTAATGAGCTGTCTGTCCAACCACCTAAGAACATCAGGTCCTTCCTCTGTCTCAGCCCTGTACACTGCCAGCCTGGCCATAAGAATGGCAGCCGCCTCCTGGTCAAAAGAAGCAGCGATGTTTTGAATCTGTGTCTGAGCATCAGCCCAACTGCAAAAGAATAGCATTTGTTTACCACACGTGTCATCAGAGAGAGACAAAAATGTATCAGTTTAATAACGAACAGTTCCAATCCATGTTGCTCCTCCAAATCAAAACAAAGCTCCCTTTCGCAATTAAGAGAAACATAAAATATGCAGGAAGCTCACTTTGTTGCAAATACAACAATTCCTTTAGAGCCAATTTAGACATTATGCCAGAAGCAGGCCTTGCAGAATCATCAGCAATTCATGATCCCCTGAAGGAAAGGCATCATATAGCTCTCTGCACACCATGCTTTGAATCATAATCACACACAACCCACCTCCATGGTTGCTAATGGGATCATGCATTGGTGTAGGAAACTGCAATGATTAGGTATCCAATTCAATTGGCACTGGCTGCCAATCTGCAATCAGGCTAAGTTCAAGGTGCTGGTTCTACCATATAAAGCCCTATATAACTTGGGATCCAGCTACCTAAAATAATATCTCACCCTTCATATACTCAATCACTGTGCATTCTGCACTGAGGGCTTCCTGCAGATACTATCTCATCAGGAGGTACTTCTCCATATAGAAATGGGGTCTTTAGTGTTGTGGCACCTACTCTTTGGAATTCCCTCCCATTAAATAAGAGACAAGCACCGTCTCGTTTGCCTTTTCAGCACCTACTGAAAAGCTTCCCTTTCCAAAAAGCCTTTTAAGTGGAGAGTTATTTCCCAGACCTCATCTGTACTGGATTTAAGACGTTTTCATTGTTTCTTGTTTATGTGTCTGCTGCCCTGGGCTTCTTCGGAATAAATATTGGCAGATTAACAAAAATCAGGTGCTCTGCTGTGCCTGAATCAAAGTGCTTTCCACTGGTGTAAAGTCAGCATTATATACAATGTCAGACCTCACATACATAAGGTCTACCTTCTAAGCAAAATACAGTGTGCATACCACACAAATTTCTAGAACAGCACATCAGAATTTAAGGCTTACTTTCTGGCAACAGTGGTCACTCTAATTCGTCTCTGTCCACTCGAATGCTGGTACTGAGTCACAAACTGGATTGCACCTCGCCCACCCTGAGGAATTGGAGCATTGTGCTGTTTGGAAGGGTAAATGGTGAAGAGATTAAATTGAACAGAATCACAGGAACATTGTGCAGTATGATCGCCACATTAGGAATCCCATCACTGCCACTGTCAATTCTATAATTAGAGATGATTTGACAGAAGCTACTTTAATAAGTGCAATATGCTGTACAAATACGAAAAAATTAAGTCAGTAAGCTTACTGCCTATCTTTAGCTACAATTTAATTCAACACTGGAGCAGCTTCCAAAACAGAGTGCTTTAAGTAGAGAAAATACTATAGGAGATGTAGATGAGACAAGATAATACAATGTACAGTGGTACCTCGGGTTACATACGCTTCAGGTTACAGACTCCGCTAACACAGAAATAGTACCTCGGGTTAAGAACTTTGCTTCAGGATGAGAACAGAAATCGTGCTCTGGTGGTGTGGCAGGCCCCATTAGCTAAAGTGGTGCTTCAGGTTAAGAACAATTTCAGGTTAAGAACAGACCTCCCGAACGAATTAAGTTCGTAACCAGAGGTACCACTGTAATATGTATATAGCTACTTAGAGCAACCAAGTGCTTCACAAACACGACCTCAGAATTTCTTACAAACAGCCCTATAAGGTAAAAAAATATTACCACCCTCATATTGTAGATGTGGGCTGAAGGCAGGCAAACTACTAAGGCTGCACACCGAGTTCATTACACAGGTGAGAACTAAACCAGGGACTTCCTGCTTTGTTGCTTAGCGCCTTATGGTATTACAAGCTACAGTAACTCATAAAATGTTCCTAATTAAAATGAGGGAAACTATAATTTGCTTTCCCCCCTCCCCAAGTGATGAAACACACAAGGAGGCCCCATCACAAAATTCTTGAAAGAAACTACTTTTGTAGACCACATCAGCTACTTCCTCAAAAGCTCCAATTAAAATGGGGAGGAAGTGGGAATTGTGCTTTGCCAATCACCTACCTCTTACACAATCAGTAAAAATATTTAAATATGCACATGTGCTCTAAAAATTTTATCTTACCTGATTAACCACCTCAAAATACAATCCTAGGGTTGTGGTAGGATTAAGTCCACAAATCTTCCACTGACATGTACCTCCTGTTCCTATCTCCTGCAAAAATATTACAAATAATTTTCAGCAAAAGTTACATTTGCTATACACAGCAAATTGTAGGATTTGGGAAAACGTACTGCTGTTTTCAATGGTTCCTATCCCGGTTACTAAGATATAGCAAAATTATATCTTTGTTATATATGCTTCACTTCTCCCCTCTACTAAGATAACATTTTACTGTAACATGAATTTCCACAGACTAGAGTATACTTTGGCTGCATCAAGGAAATAATGCCACCTTATACTAGTGGAGAAATCCAAACGAAACAATGAGCCACTATACTGGCACTAAGCAAGACATTACTGGTACACATCCAAAGAACAACAGGATTAGTAGGACAAATAGTGAAGTTTATAATGCTGATATATATATATTGAGCACTGTTGAACCCAGGAGGCACCACAAGAGGTGCAATACATAAATAAATAAGCCTATATGTAAGATGTTTATCGCTACTTAGAGCTTTCTACTCCTCAGCAATATATTCACTACTTTGGAAACTGAGTGGATAGTGAAATAAACACACACACACACACACGGCAGGATTCTGCTAATGAGTCCTGTCAGTGAAAGCCCTGCACAAGGACTTCTCCTTGTACAACAGGGCTTTTCCTTCACATCGCCCTGCGCAAACACGAAATTGTCTCTAGGGGAATCGGGAGAACCCCTAGAACAGCACGTAGGGGTGAGAAGGGGGACTGTTCCTTCAGGCAAGACAAAATGCTTTCCCTGTCAGAACAATCACCTTAGTGTGACATTGAATTACTCACACACAGAGTGGTATAGTGTAATTGCAATATGATACCCACTAATACTTAGTCACATCAGAAAAAGCTGGATCTACTGCATTTTTATGTAACAGGTGTAAGGGTTGGATTAAAACGGTATTTACTGTTCTAAACCAGCCGACAGTCACACAACTCACTGCTCACCCGGCCTGAAGGGAGAAAAGGCAAAACTTTTGTAAAATTGTGCCTTTGAAAATTTTGTTGTTGTTTAGTCGTGTCTGACTCTTCGTGACCCCATGGACCAGAGCACAACAAAATGGCAACATGCTAATAGGATTTTACTACATAATTTCTATAGCATTTTGTGTGTGAAAAGTGAGAAAGGCACAGATTATTTAAGTGATTTATAGGTTAATCAACTTACATTTTCTGATACACAGGGCCCTTTAGAATTGAGAGATACACAAGGTCCAATAGCTCCAGATATCTTTATTTCTCTTGAGGTCTACACAGATTGAAGAGCAAAATAAAATAAGAACAAATGATTGTTCCTGCAGAATGTAGGATAATCTTTCCTTTTGGCAGTCTGAGATTATAAATCTCCTTTACTGGTAAAGAGCAGTGCTAACAGAGGTCTGAACAGTCATTTGATTCAGAATGGAGCAGAAACTAGACAGCTTTTCTTGTAGTAAAAATGGTTTCTATGAGACTGCACTGTGCGTAAGTATGTAGAGAACTGCAGCCTAAAACAACTCACTGGATCAACTAAAAGTACTCCTTGCACTAAAAGGACTTATGAGACTTCATTCCTCGAGTTTGTAGAAGCCTATACACTTTAACTTTACATCTCCTTTACAAGTCCAATTTGGAACAAGCATTCGGGCTAGAGATGACGAATCATATCTCAGAACAGGCACCTGACCCAGAGTACCCTCAAAGTTCCTTAGAGTCCCACAGTTCCATACAGGTGAACATATGGAGTTGTTTTATAAAAATGCCATCCAGCTCAGTATTGTCTAGTGGGACTTTTCACGGCAACATCCTTTGTGGAGATAGCAGATACTGGGTCGAGAACCTTCCACATGCACACCATGTGCACTACCACTAAGCAACAGCCCCTTCCCAGATATATTTTTTTCCTCAGCAGCATATTCATATGACCAGCAGAATATGGACAAATCACCATACCACCCCTGGATCTCATGCCCTGCTGCCCACGTTCCATACTGGCAAGAATAAATCTTATAGGAATTGCACCTTTATGCAACAGAGAAATATTTCTGTTGATGATTCAGTATGTATTGTGAGTGGAATCTAAATATCATATCAACAGATTACAAGATGTTAGAGTGAGCTGTGTCTGCAAAGGTACAGGAAAGATACCCAGTTGCATATCTTGTAAGTCAAGGGTAGGAATTCATAACAGTTTTGCCAAGCAATGAATGCTGGATCACAGTCACACTAAATCCCAGTGTTTATTTGCACTGTAAAATAAAATACTACGACCCCAATGCTAAAGGTTTAAAGTAAAACGCTGACTGAACAATTGTTACTAGCAATAATAATACCTTAGTGCAATAGTTTAGTTAGCTGTAAACAAATGCGATGGAATAACAACACAAGACCTTTAAAAATATTTATAGTAAAATTCCAAATCTTACTTTGATTTCTAAAGTACCTCCAAATCCCATCTTGAATTGCCCCTGTGCATCTTTGGTAAACACACGCTGAAAGGTTTGTTTGAACAGGGATGTATTGAAAGAGTCTCCCATTACCATGTAACCCCTACATGGGGGGAAAATGAATAATTAAGTCAAACAATATATGAAAAACGCGTAAGAGCAGTTATAATGGAATCTGGAACTGCTCTAAGTCATCACACTCTAGGCTGCTACCACAAGTTCACCTGTGAAGATTTCTGCTCCACTCCTGCCATCCCATATTTCGTTGTGATATTGTAGATCTATATGCCATGTTTAGAAGTGGCCATCACAAGGCACTCATGGAAGCACTGCAGTATCAGTTTATATGCATTGGCTTCCCCACTCCACCCACAGCTCATTCCTGAAGAGGCATAATGTAATAATAAAACATGGAAAGCAGCATTGAGGGCCCACTGGCTATCCCTAAACAATTTATTTCACAAACAGACCATTTTATACATATTGATGCAGCTCCTGAGAAGCACTGGCAGAATTTGAATAGGTCTGCTTCAAGTAAGACTTAATTGGATATCACCCATTGATTTTGCGGGGTGTGCCTTTCATGCTTGCAGAATAGAGAGAAAAATCTTCCTTTAAGATTACTCCCCAGAATAGTATTATGCTCAGTATTAATAGCTGTGTGATACAAAATATTTAAACAGGAGAAAGGAATATATTGCAATTAAGAGTACTAGTCAGAGTATTGCTTTCTAACGTGAAAACTCATTTTAAACTATATTTTCATGATTGAAAAAGATTAATTGTAATGACAACTTTGCTCACACAGACACAATCATGCAAACATGCAACCACTTGACTTCCAATATATAGCTTTTCTCTTAATTACACAAAAACACTGTTTCTGCACATAGCCTCTTTTACATTACTGTAAAATGTAACACATACCCAGTGTAGTTAGGACAGCACTTCATCTCCAGAAGACCAGTCTGATCTAATGCACATGCATAAATGTCAATAACGTGACCGGTTGTAGCAGCGTGATTTGCCAAAGCTTCAAAATGCTAGAGACACAAATGTAAACATAACTTTTACTAAACAATGCAGGTCAAACTTTCCACATTTTACATTAAGGCTTCAAATATTCTTCAGAAGTTGAAGTGTATTTGCCAAATTATATTCTTTTCAGATGCTATACAAGACTAGATCAGTATTTAAAACAGAAATATGTTTTAATTCATAATTGTTCGGATTTTGTATAAGCCAAAATAGCTACCTTTATTTTAGGGCTGGGGGGGCATTCCGGACAACAGATCAGCTTGAACAAGATGAAGCAGAACTGCATTAAGGAAGAGCCCCAAGCCCTATATTTGATATTTTAGGGGGAATGTTGTGACCTCATCTAGAATGTAACACTTTTTCCTAGTTCAACTTCCCATCCATCACCAATCTCAACTGGATTAAACTTTATTCCATTGGCACGATGGCTGTCAATACACTGTGGTTCTGAAGGTAAGGAAGACATATAATCACACAGCAGTTTCAAGAGATGCTATATGAAGTATTGGACGGGTGGAGAATTACATGCTATTTCTTCCACAGTCCTATATGTTCCATTATGCTTAGGTCACCCTTTGTCAAGGCAAGCACATGCAATATCCCTCCAAGGTTAATGGAAATGTACCAGTTTGTTTTGGAGGGGTACAACTCAGGCTGTAAGAGTTAGGAGTTTTTAAGTTTTAGAAAATATGCAGTCACTGAATAAATTATCTGCAGATCTCATGTTACTTTACATACATTCCAAATAATTTAATTAAAAGAATTTAAAACTTAAGTGTTCTTACCTTCGTACCCTTTTTTACATATTTGGCATTGTCTTTTTCAATGTCATGCCAAGACCTTATAGGCACCTTAAGTTCATCTCCTACAACCATCCCAGGTCCCTGTGTAGCCGGTCCGCCAATAAACATCATTATACGGGCACCAGTGTTAGGAAAAGTACACTGTGGGGTGATAAATATTTTTAAGACAGAAAGCAAAAAGATGTGTTTCAAAGACATATTGTGATGATATTCGGAACTGCTGATTGAGTTCTAAAATAGGTTGAACTGTGAATATGACATAAGGTTAATGCTGAGACCTATTTAACTAAGTATATTTAGTATTTGCACTATAGTACCACACTTTTCTGTAACTGCAAAAAGAAACAGCTGAACTGGAAAAAACTTCAGGAAAGTCTGTTTGCAAGTGGAGGGAACAACCACATTTTTCCAATTTCAAATCAAATTCACATTGTTTTAACTCATTCAGGTAACCCAGATAAGGGCAGCGAACTTTCAGATGCACATAAATGAGAAGTTGTTACCTCTAGCAGTCCTACAGCTATGGAAAGTGCCACTCCAGAAGACCGCAAAGGTCTTTTCCCTTGGGGAACAGGCCAAGGATCACGTTGCAGTTCATCCAAAAGATCAGTGAGATTCATGTCAATTTTCTGGACCGGCTGTAAGAACCTGGAGACAAGAAAAACATTAAGTTAAAAAGAAGTTTCCCTTGATTGCACAAGCTTTCAAATAATTCTAGACCATTTATATATTTGCAAAGTATTGACCTACAATTATAGTGTTTAAAATACAAATTAAATTTTGTTATAAATTTAATGTTACATGGGTGGTATCCAACTAAGTAATACTTGGAATAGACCCACCAAAATCAATAGACTTAAGTTAGTTCATGCTTGATGTCTCCCTGTGTTTTTATATTATGTTGGAAGCTACCTATTATTATTATTATTATTATTAATGACAAACTTAAGCCCATTGATTTCAGTGCTTCTACCCCAAGTATGACTTAAGTTGGCAACTGATTTACTTTCATTGTGAGTCACCCAGAAAGCTTGTTACTGGGTCAGCATGCATATAAATGAGTAAATAAATGAATGAATAGGATTTGGCACAAGCTAAGGTTTGCATCTTGAGTACACTTGCTTGGAAGAAAGAGAGTCGGGAACAGGGATTGACCTCAATATCTGACCTTTTAAATTTTTTAAATTCATCTATTTATTATTATGCTTATAACCCACCTTTCCTCCAATGACTCATACTGCAAAATTACAAAGCAGGACTTACTGTAAAACAATTTGGTACATTTTTTCTTCTTAATAAAAACAAATACCTGTTTGATGGTGGCGGCTGCTGAGCTTGAGGGCCACGCCCCACTTGTGCAACATTCATTTTTGTAAGTCCTAACATTTCCTGTGAGTATATTTAACATAATAAAGTTGAATATAGTTACATATTCAGTATATAAACAGCAACATTTTAAAGAAAATTAAGGAATATTTCTTATTCATTTACACCGAGTCTTTCTTACTTTTAAAAAAAGTTTAGAAACATCTTTATAATGCTGATTTTCTCATTTTACACATTGAAAATGTATGCTTAATTCCTTAACTGTTCAGTAAGGTACATATTTATTTTACTTCCATCTTCAAAGACAGAGCAGCTCCAAAACTGGAAATACCATTTTTAATATTAATTTTATATTTACCTGAAGCTGTTTTGCAGTCAGATCCTTTGTGCCTCTGAAAACATAACTTTTGTAAATCCCCTCGCAGCCAAGCTCATGAACTTGCACCATTCTCCCAAAAGTAATAAGTCCAACCAAAGCAGTTGGAGGTAGGAGACTTAACGACATTTGCATGGATTCCTTCAAAGCTTGCAAGTCTTCATCTTCCATACACGTGTCAACAACATAAAGAAATATCAAAGGCATCTGAGGTCCACGCTTTAAGAAAAAGTGAACAAGACTGCAGCATTAACATTACTTCAAAAAGCCAGGAACAGCCTTGTAACTATCCCCAAACTATACCTGATCAAATGCTTTCTTGGGAATACTCATGCAAAACCGGCTTCAACATGGTTGTATCCGTTTTACAGTCCTAAATAAAAACACATGAATCTCTCTAACACTATGCAAAGTGGCATGCACTGACTTGGGCAGACATACGTGTATTAGATTCCAGTGTTATTTAAATCTGTTTTGCTATACAGTCGTACCTTGGTTCTCGAATGGCATCCGTTCCAGAAGTCCATTCGACTTCCAAAAACCAAGGCACGGCTTCAGATTGGCTATAGGAGCTTCCTGCAGCCAATCAAAACCTGCAGAACGTTGGACGTTTGGCTTCGCAAACTGGAACACTCACTTCTGGGTTTGCGGCATTCAGGAGCCAAAACATTTGAGTGGCAAGACGTTCCAGAGCCAAGGTACGACTGTATTGCTTAGCACTCAAGTTCAGTTGAAACAAATGTATAAGCTGAAGAGCACCTGGGCTACCGGCTCCATGGTGGCTGAAACATATTTAGGATGTCACCCCTAAACTACCCATGCTCCTCCTACTTCTGAGTTACATAGGTTTTAGGCTACACTAATTGTTCAGGAAAGTATGACTACAGCTGACTCTGAGGTGGAATCTATACACATATAAAAAATGCTGTGAAAATGCTTTTTAAAAAAATCTTTTTTAAAAATACATTGAATTCACTTTCGCCATCAAGTGTCACATTTGTATATTGCACTTTACAACACACCTAAAACGTTTTATTTGCCACTATATAGCTGAGTCCAAACTCCACATATTGGAGACCATCACAGTGGCAACTTTTCTGACCCAAGAATCCCAAAGATTTTAATCAAGGTATTTACCTGTACTACATATTCAATGCTAGAAAACTGAGGTAAGAGTTCTGCAGGCTGGTTCATCTCAGATATGCCTGCATATGTAGGAGGAAACTGCAGAAGAAAAGGGATCCAATCAAATGAAAAATTCAAACAAAAAACACTTTGAAGCATAAATTTCTATACCAGTCAGCCTTTCCTAACCTGGTGCCCTCCAATTGCTTTAGAATATAACTCTCAACATCCCTGACATATGGCCACAATGTGTGGGGCTGTTGAGAGTTGAAGTCCAAAATATCTGCAGAGCAACAAGCTTGAAAGGGTTTACCTATACTAGTCTATTCCACCCCACCCGCACCCTTTACATGTTAATATTACTACCACTCATATCTCAATCTTAAAATGCATTCACCTGAAAGTTCTCTTACCTGGTTTCTCTGGTAACAAAAATTGCAAGCCCATAGTTTTGCTCGGTAATCCACTTGGCTACAAAAATAAAATTTAAGGTGTTTTAATAGACAGACTATGACTGCAAGTCAGATACTTTGCAGTTTCATGCTTAAACATGAGCACAGGTAATACAGCATAGACACTGTCGCTCAGCAAGAATGTGAAGGGAAGCAATTTTTGGCCATTCCCCCTCCCCCAAGCAGCTCCCAACACACACCTTAAATCTGTTCCTGATGTAGTGGGGGCTGGAGAGGCAGGGGAAGGATAGCTTAAAACTGCATCTTTCCCCATTCTTCTGACAGAAGCTTTACTGTCAGGTCACTGAGACCATTGGTCAATGGTCAACCCACAAAATTTAGTCTCATCATTTATTCTGATCAAAGCTAGTTATCAAAACTTTTCTTCTCTAACCCTTTGGAATATTTTTGCTTTATCTTAACTCCTTCCTGATACCATAAGTTGTGTTTGGTACTGCTTTTTATTCAATTACTGTTAAATTTACTTACTATTATTGCAAATTACTTTACACTTGCTGGGAAAAGTATAAATATTCAGGAAAATAAATAGAATTAGAGTTGTGTCTTGCCATACACCATAACAAAAGGCAAAACAATTTTATTAAATAATCTTGCAGTCGTGTGACTGCAAGTTAGTTAAGCAGTGAGTGGCTGATAATATTGCAGAAGCAAAGTGGCATCAGTGTCACCTTTATTTTGGTATTTACTGTTTTTGGCATGTCACCAAATGTGGAAATTTCAGGGATACCTTTTCTGTTAATGGTATGCAGCACAGCACATTAAAAAAAATATTGCAGATTTGTACATGGCAAGTGCACACATGAAGCATCACATAGAAGCTCTGTGTGCACATGAGGCAATATGATTTCAGTTAATTTATCCACGAGAAAACAGCTTCAGTACAGAACCATACATTATAAGTATGTTTTTAAAGTCCTGTTACAATCAACAGGACTTGCTTTAAAAAAATATTGTGGAAATAAGGTATTAAGACCCTTGGAAAAAATACTACAGAATAAGAACAGTTTTTACTATTTATACTTTTTGGCCATTTTTTTCTAACTGCAGTCATGGATAACTTTACGGAGCAAGAAAAATTCTGTAGATAAGGCATGCTCACAGATACTGTCAACTTCAGAAATGAACTTTGGAAAGTATCCAAATCATACTCCAAACAAACTCATTGAAATCAATGAAGTTATTTAACTCAATTGATTTCAGTAGGTCTACTTCAAGCATGACTGAAGCTGGATATCACCCATAATGAGCTGCACTTCAGATAATCTCTTTTATGAGCTGTGCATAATTTTGTATTGATTTGTGAGGGTGTTTTTTTTCTAATGTCCAATATACTAACTATTTGTAATATTTTTTATAGTGAATGTCAGAAAATAAATTTGTCTTTCAAACTCCCGAACATACATAACAGATAAAATACTTTTTAAAACAATAATAAAGTACTAATATCCATGCAAAGTTTAAAACTCTTTATCTGAAATTACCATAATGGATTTAGAACAGCTCGGCAGGTAGTTCTGCTGCACAGGACTGGCTCGTACTGAATGGGAGGCAAGTCAGGCCGCTCTTTCAATGGTGTAAACAGAGAGGCCACAGGAACCACCATCCTTGTAGCCTCAAGACGACTGGAAGGCCATACATTCCAGCTGAATCGAACGCCATCCCTGTCTTCATTCTGCTGAATGAACTCGAGGAAGGTTGCCATCACTGCGTTCTTATTTCTGAAACAGAAGCACACATTAATTGATACATGCAAGCTTCGAAGAATGAATTAGAAACCAAGCCTTGTTTCATCTGAATGGGCATTATGGAGCACCTCCAAGTTACCTGCATTACTAGCCATCTCGAAACACATATATTTTTCATAGAGCTACATACAGGAAAACAAAAAAATAACTAGTCGCCTCTGTTGCATTTGGATAGTGGACAGTCTACAGTCTTGCCAGTGCACATATTAAAAAAGAGATATCATACATACATCTCTCAAGAGGCTGTAACATTGCAGCAATACAAAGTGTCAGCTCGAAAGTACACTGACCTGCAAAGTAACTTTGATTTGAGAAGTGTTATCCAAAAGAATATCACAAGGATTACCACACTCCCATTCATTTCAAAAGAGTGTGCACAGGGGAAGGGTTCATTCACCTCTTAAGTTCTTTAACTAGCAAGTTCAGACTGGTACTATGCAATACACACCACCATATGTGGTTGCTACAGACTGCTGTATTATTCAAAGCTTGGTAAACACATCAGATATGGCAGCAGCTCAGCAGTACAGTCACCAGGGCACACCACTCACATTGGGCAAATTGAACTGCAATGAAAGTATCCAGTATAATACAACAGTTCTGTATTATCACACCAAACAAACCTTTGGTTGTTTTAAATATGACCAACCAGACTTATACACTAGAAGAGCAATACAGAACGGGGGGGGGGGGGAGCAAGACAAAATAGTGAACATATTCAAGAGCTACCAAGCTCAGCAACAGCCATGTCTTCAGTAAAATTCCTCCAACCTTTCCACTCATAAGCTAGGAATTATTCCATTTATCTGTACTCTCCATGCCAAACACTCTTCATGTATCCTGGGTCTGCAGCAGGCCCTAAATTGTGAAAATCCCTCCCCAGAGAGGTATGCCTAGTTAGCGTCTTCATTGTGCAGCTTGCACTGTATGCTGCTTACCCTGGCCTTTGACAGGTAAGGTACAATATTTTGTTTTGTGAGACCCACCTCTTTTGTTGAATTTATATTTTTCTATTCCACTTTTAATTGTTTTACTTTTTGAGGGGGGAAATATTATATCGTTGTAACCTGCCCTGAGACCTTATAGTGAAAAGTGAGTAAGAAATTTTATAAACAGCCTGATTTGTATTTGTTATTTTAATACCAAACTCCTGTCAACAGTTCCATGTGGCTTTGTATATGTAAAGCCAAAAGTGTTCTTTGTTAGAATTCCAAAGCTGAATGCCAAAATACTTTCTATTGTGCATGTATGGTTTTATTGTAGGTGTGTAATTTTATTGTAAGCTGCTGTGCAGGTTCTACAGATCAAACAATAAATAAATAAATAAAAGCACTATAGGCAAGTATCAATGTTGCAAGTGGACTATTGAGGGAGTGACATAGATGGGAAGATAATACCACAAAAACCTACCCTGGGCACATCTATATTGCACAATGCATTTGTATCATACTGGCTGCACTGGCATGTAACAGAGCACCATGGGCTCCCTACTCCTCTTCCAGTGCAGCCACAAGAGTGGAAACCTTCGTCTCCACGTTCAACTAACCACAATAGCTCATTATGTCTTGACCTGGACAAACCATGATTAGTATTAACTCTGGTTTTCTGAAAGAAGTTTGAACCGTGGTCAATAATGATTGTTCTCAGGATCCTACTCCGGAATGAATTCCACAATCATAAAATGATATTACCCACAAAATACCTTCCACTTATTGCAGCAGCTGTAGCTTTGGTACACTGGGGGGAAATCTCAAGCTTCAATTTAGATGTTTCTAATAGCTATATTATCCAGCTGTACTGAACAAGTCTGCATCAATAAACTTTTGAAACTTGCAGGTTTCAACAGCAGCTTGCCAAGCAGCACAAAGTGATGCTGCAAGTTGGGGGGGGAGCAAGGAGAGAGCAGAATCTCTGCTGAAGTTGCAGAGCTCACCAATGCAGCCCTCTGACGTGCACTTATAAGCAGCCAGCTCCCTGAAACTCTGCTTTTAATGAATAGCTCTTATTTTATTGCTGTCATTGACAGAATTGCCCCAGCCGAAGCCCATGCAAAAAAGCACAACACTGTGTTATCAAAAGGTCCATGGAGGGAAGAAGCTGAAGAACTTAGCAAAACGTGGAAAAATCAGAGAGCAATAAATCAAGCAAGAGGTGGTGCGTAGGTCTTCTCTTGTCTGCCTCATACCCACAGCAGATCCAAAGTAGCTTTTCCCATTACAGAAAGAAAAATCCCAAGGGGGAACACCTCTTCGAGGGGAGGGGAATTTTAATATGATAAACAGTGAGAAGGAAAACAGTTTGGCATTCTCTGTGCCCCTCCTAACCACTTGTATACTCTTCACACTTTCCTCCAAACAAAAATTTATTTAATGAAAAAGAGTGTCAGAAGAGTGATTTTGAGTATTTGCATACAATGTGTACTTGGCTCTTTGCCACCAAAATTTGCAAACAATATCATGATGAAGGAACTAAAGCAATACCTGCCCTACATACAAATTTACAGTTGAACTCTGCACTTCCAAAGACATGCATATAGCCAGCTATAAGAATATTCACAATGGCAACTTAGAATTATAAGCATTTGGTTGGGTGCTTCACTGAGCTCCATGTAAACAAGCTTGTGTCAAGCACAAGCAAACTAAAGAACTGTGTGAGCAGAATAACTCCTCTGCTCCATGCTGCCCCCAATAACAGATTTAGGGGGACTCTCGGGACAGATTTAGGAGGTGTGCGAGGGAGGAGAGGGGAGGGGGAGTCCCATTGCGTAAGCTGAAGTCATTCCCCTCACACAATTATTTAACTGAATACCATCCATTAACTATCCGTGAGATAAAGACCTTAGGATGAAATGCTTCCACTTTTTTTAAAGCCACTGTACATTGTTTTATTACATGCTTACACATTCTACAAAGACCAAGGTACACACAACGTGTTGATTAGAACAGACATCTTCAGACTTTTCAGATCTGAAACTCACCTTTAACCCCTGTCTACAAGACACAAACTTAATGTGTTTATTATACTGGTGTTAAGTATCTTCCCCTCTCCATTTTCCTTTATTTTATTTTCTTAAAATATGGGGGGATGGAATGATAGCAATGTCACCAGTACAACCCCTTTTACACGTTTGTGGGTTCTAATCCACCAGTTAAAGACCAATGGATGAAAATATGCTTACCTCTCAATACCACATCATAGCTGACGTTACGAAGCTTATGCATACAGTTTGGCTCATAAAACCTGATCTGGGCAAATAATTTTATCCCATCTTCTTCCTTTATTTTTGCCTTCCAAACACGAATTACAGCCTAAAACACTAGGCACAACACAACCTATTTTCTTGTAAGTTGTACCAATTTAAGTGGAATTTACTTCCAAGTAAGTTTGCCCAGAACTGTGATGCTCATCATAAAAGTACTACAAACCTATACAAACATCTAGTAAATACAGCATATCTAAAAACAAGTTATAATCCAGCATAAGACCCCTAAACAAGTGTAAACAGAAGTAGATCCCAGTGAGATCATTGGGACCCACTCCTTAGTAAATGAGCTTAATATTGTAGCCCTAAGTATGCTTATGCACCAACATGATTTTAAATACTCTTTGTTCAACTGAGATTATTAGCTCCCTAAAATATAACTTGTAAAATTAACGTCCTGAACTTCAAAATCTTCATACCCAACATTCAGGAAAACTTTTTGGTGTGTACAGAGACAGTTTGCTGGTAATGACTGACATAGCCCTATATGGTTTGGATCCAGGCCAGCTGAATAATTGCATCTCCCTTTATGGGCCTTGACATCTTCTGAGGAGGCCTTTATCTTGGCTCCACCACCTTCATAAGTACCTTGGTTGAGGACATGAGAGAGGGTCTTGTCAGTGGCTGCTCCCACCTTGTGGAAGGCTACACTGACCTTCCTCTTGCTTTTCTTTCACCGGCAGGAAAGCACTTTTTTGTTCCAGCAGGCCTTTGGCCATCAACTAGCTTTTCTGAAAGGGTCTCCCGAGAGTGGATGCGGTAATTCTTTGTGCTTTTAAATGGTTTTAAGCATTTTCAGTGCTGCTTATATAGGGCTACTTGCTTGGCTGACTTTAATATTTATTTTTAATTTGTGCTTCTAATTTGTGTTGTAAGCTGCCTTGGGATCTTCACTGGGAGAAAGGTGGAATATAGAATAAATACCCCACATTTATAAAACTTTTAAATTAAAGTTTCTAAACAAACCAATAGAAGCTGTCAGAAGGCTGAAATGGGCTGCACTGGATGTATGTTTAGTATCATGCTGCATGTCTGTTTATGGCATATGGCAGATGATATCATTACCTGTGAAGTGAATCACTTTCAAAAGTGAATGTACAGCACTACATATATTCAGCCCTCCCTTGGAAGATAATCTCAAATGCTATTGCAACATATATATTAAATCCAGGAAAACATATGATTGCAAATAAAGCTCTTGGGAGAGAGAGCTTGTTTTTCTGAAAACCCTGGGGGGTTATCAATGGAGGCTTCTTGTATTATAGAAAGAAACTGCGTTACTTTTTTCCTAAGATCTGTTCACTCTACTACTAATAGTTGATTTGCATTATTTGTGCCAAATACTGCCAGTTCTGCAGTGTGGGAACACAGTATACACATTGCTCAGACAACAGAATCCTATGGCACCTTAAGCATTAACAAATGTTTTGTGGCATTAACATTTCTGGGCCAGAGGCAATTTGTCAGCTGCATGAAGAGGAACTCCATTCATTCCTGACATTCTAAAAGAAAAACCATTGAGCGGAGAACCAAAGCAACAATGTATTAGCAAATGTTTACCTATTTCATCAGTTTGATGTGGGGGTTATTTTTGTCTTTAAAACAGTTGGATTTAGGGACCGAAACACACTGTTATGTAGCACAGTTCCTGCTCCCTCTTTATGATCCCTACTTTCCCCTTCATCTTTACATCTTTGTGTACATTTCTTACACATCCCCTCTTTTATTTCCAGCTTTTCCAGATGATGCAGAGCAGCGCTATCTCTCAGTCTCCTAACCCCACAGGAAAGGGGCTACTTACAGCGTTTCTTGGGCACCAGGTACAGTACTAGTTCAGGCCGCTGACTCCTCTCCTCAGTAAAGTACAGTTGTGAAATCCCAATATCCTTTATACCCAACGCTGCCCAAACCGGGGAGGGAGGCGGGGTCGTTGAAGGGGCAGAATAAGGTTTGGGATCCCAAATGCTCCAGCCACCGTGTGTGCCACAACCGCCTACCCACTCCCAGTCTCTCCCTCTCACACACACTTTGTCCACAGTACAGCCCCTCACCTATAGAAGAGGGCGAGGGAGTATGAGGGACGCTCGTCCTGGGCTGGGGGCGAACGGAAGAGGAAAAGGGGGGGCGGTTATATATAAAAATATGTATTTTATAATCACTTTATAAAATTTATAATCACATTATAATCACAATTCTAGCTTTGGGGAGGGGAGGTACGGGAGAAAACAAGCACCCTGTCGCTGACCCCTCGCTACGACTTACCTCAGCCTACAAGTGAACGGGAGAGGCTTGGGGGGGTCTTTTGGGGGGGGTCCCCCGACAGACACCAAAGCGCCCGGGGGTCAGAAGGAGCGTCTCTCCCGCTGCGCGCGCTCCCAGCGCCGAGTCGGCGAGCGGCTCTCCGGCGGGACTTGACTCTTGTGCCACTTCGGCCTCCTCCTCCCCTCCTCCTCCTCGGAAAGTGGCGCAGCCCTTCCCTTCGCCCAGCCCTTCGCTTCTACCCACCTGCGTCGCTCAGCCAGTGGAGCAGCCGCCTCCGCCGCTCGCTTCAGCCTCTCCTCACACGGGAACCCAGCAGCCTGAGCGGTGCCGACGCAACCAACATGGCTGAGGGGGGAAGCCGGTGCCACGTCAAAAGGGGCAAGGAGCGCGCACTGCGAGGCGCAGCCCGGAGAGAGGCGGGGTCTCGGGACGCTTTTTTTGTTCCCGCCTCCGCCGCAGGGCGGCGAATGAGAGCGCGGCGGAGAAAGATAGAGCCCCGCCTACGGCTCAGGCGGCGGCGGCGGCTGTGGAAGCGGGCTTTGGCGAGGCGCCTTGGTCCGAGCCTTGTCATCGACCCGATTCCTCACCAAGCGTCTTCCGTATTTCAACGTTTGCTGGAAACTTTTCTGCACCGCCAGGCTCACACAGACGATGAATAAAAACCTTCCTCCTCGCCCCCCCCCAGTAGTTTGCTGGCGATCTGAAAATGTGTGGTTTTTGTGTGTGTATAGATAGATAGATAGTATCTATCTACGAAAGCAGATAGATAGTATATATATAGTTTATGTGTGTGTGTATATATATATACAGTAGTGTGTGTGTATAGTGTGTGTGTGTGTGTGTGTGTGTGTGTGTATACAGACTCCACTAACCCAGAAATATTACCTCTGGTTAAGAACTTTGCTTCAGGATGAGAACAGAAATTGTGCTCCAGCAGCGCGGCAGGAGGCCCCATTAGCTAAAGTAGTGCTTCAGGTTAAGAACAGTTTCAGGTTAAGAACAGACCTCCGGAACAAATTAAGTACTTAACCCAAGGTGTGTATATGTATATATCTAGATATATCGAACTGCATTCATTTTTCTGTCAATGAAACGGTGGCATACAAAGTGTTCTGTAAATAAAAAGCGAATACGGCCAAGATGACCGGCGCTTAAAACCTTACTGCTGCCGCTAGGTTAAAGGAGCACCTGTAGAGAGAGTGTTTCACAATAAGCACGTTTTACTATATTGGAAAGGTTCTGTCTTTTCCCAATGCAGGAAAGAACTGGACAGGCCTGTTACTGGTCCTCATTAGAAGAAGAAGAAAAAGTCAGCCCTGTGCCTGACTTGTACCAGGGTCTTGAACATAGTGCTGCCTCCTTCTTTCCTGACAGCTGTTCCGTATATGGTACTGATCTGTTCAACAGGTGCAGCATTTCTTGTCATGAAACTGCCATGACTGGGAAAGCAGCGCCTGGATCTGATTTCTCTCCCAGAACATGTCCCATTTTAGGTGACCTGGGCCTCTGTCAGAAAAGGAGACAGCAACATTTTATGAATGTAGCCACTTTCCCGTGGAAAACACAAATTGCATGGTGGGGTAATTCGAGTTTCCTTCCTTTTCAGTGCAATAGATGAGCCTCACCCTGTGAAAACCACCTTCCTGGTTATCATGGTATCTCCCCTGCCAGGTAACTTCATATACGGAACCATTTTTATTGGAGTAAAATAAATAATTTGTTGAAAACAGTAGCTTGTCAGAGGCAGCCTAAATAAACCTCTGAGGAAGAAGACCTTTTTTATTTTTTTTTAATTCTTTTTATTAAGCTGTTTTGTTGTTTTTTTAAGAGAAAAACAACAAAGTAAAACAAAACCACGAATGTACCAAGAAAAGAGGAAGAAGACCTTTTGAAACAGAAGGCTTTGGTAATCTTTGTCCCTGAGGAAGGCATTTCACTGAAACATCTTGGGCACCGTATTTCTCTTTAGCTCTTGTCAAACACAGTATCACATAAACGGCAAAGCACTACGCTAGTCATAATAAACAGTTTATAATCCTGGTCACTATAATTGATTGTTCCATGCAGAGACACTGAATTTTTGAAGGGGAGCATGCTGAATCCATGGCAAGTGGAGCCCACTGTTCTGTTACTGCAACCTCTGGCAAAATAGCACATCTCACTGCAGCACATTGAACCGAGAGACTGACATTTAACTGGTGTAACTTTTTCCATCACTACATCTCCATACCATGGGGTGCTCAAAGATATTCAATGGCTGTGTACTGCAAGTGGGGCTGTTACTATAATCAAATGTGGGGGGCGGGTGTAAATCCAGTCTCATATAACCAATATGCTTAACTCTAATCCATTAAGGAGTTAAGACCACAGAGTAAGCTGTCCTGCCAGGCTTAGCTAGGTCACATCCTCTCACCTTGGGAGGAAGGGTTACCAAACTCTTTGTTCTCTCTCATTCTTTTTCCATAATGTGAACTTGACCAGTAAGGATGTCTGTGCTAGTTACTCGAAGCCCAGATCGCTTAGCTTTAACAAGCCATATTTTTGTTCCTATACAAATAATTTAGAAACTTTTACCATTGTTGAAACTAAGTTGTACTGCCTGTTTTTATTGCTGCTGTATGGAGAAGCACATGAATCTGATATTTGAAACATGTGGTCTCTATCCTAATGGAAGAACAGAACTTTGGAACAAACTTAGAACGGGATATTTTAGAAGTCTAGCAGCCTAAATTTACACGCTTTACTTAACTGCATGTTTTGTGATTTTAAATCTCTACTGGGGTTCTCTCACCCAAGAATGCTTGCCCCAAACCTGGATCTAGGCATCCAGGATATTCTCCTTTTATTCTTTAACTAAATTACAAAACAACAACAATATGTTCACATGCAGTTGGAATTTAGACTCTCAATTTGAATGTATTATGGGGGGCACTTTATATGGTAATTGTATTACATTGTATATTTGGAAAGCCAGCTCTCCATAATTTTGAGGACCTCCGACTTATTCTGCTGGGTGGGGTCCTGAAGTTGCGACCAAAAGTCATAATCTGAGGACACCACTGATACTATAGTGCCAGTATTAAGGGACTAGCACCATATGCTGTACCAGGGGTAGGCAACCTAAGGCCCATGGGCCCAATTGCCTTCTCAATCCGGCCCGCGGATGGTCCTGGAATCAGTGTGTTTTTACATGAGTAGAATGTGTCCTTTTATTTAAAATGCATCTCTGGATTATTTGTGGGGTCTGCCTGATGTTTTTACATGAGTAGAATGTGTGCTTTTATTTAAAATGCATCTCTGGGTTATTTGTGGGGCATAGGAATTCGTTCATTTCCCCCCAAAAAATATAGTCCGGCCCACCACATGGTCTGAGGGACGGTGGACCGGCCCATGGCTGAAAAAGGTTGCTGACCCCTGTACTGTACAAACCCAACCTAACTCCCTCTGATGCTTTACTTTTTCACTTGAGTTAGCAGGCCCCCAACCATGGGCATACCCAGGATTTTGGGGGGGAGCAGGACTTTATTAGGGAGGGCAGGACTTTTGTTAGGGGGCAGAGCTGATGTGATTGGTCAGTTAATTAAGTTTTCCATGATCTGTGGGGAGGGAGTTGCCCCTGCTGCTGCCCCTTGGCTACGCCCATGCCCACAACCATTGTCTAACATGTTTATTTTTCCAGAACCTTATAAATGACCCAAGAAGAAATGTTATTAGAAGTATTCCAGTACCCAGAGGTAAGAGGCAAACATCCTCGGTACATTTAAAACTCTAAATTTACCACAACTCTAAAAATGGCCCACCATTAGTGACTGTTTAAAATGTGTTTCTGAATTCAAAATTTCTGTTGTTGAGGTGTAAAGAATGTCTTTTAAGGACAGACTTTTTCGGGTTGGATTCCACATATGTTTTGAAAGCACATTTGAGATAATGTATAGATTCGGACGGGGTTAGAATATAAAAGAGGAAAACTCCACTTGGGTTATGAAGCCAAGCGTGTCTGATCATCACCCTGGCAAGCAAGGGGCCGAGTGCTCAGCAGCACGAGGACGACGAAGGGAACTAATAACCGTCTAAAACAACTTCTCCGGCGGTGCACTAAACCAAAGCGGCCGCTGGAACAGAGAGGCAACAGCCCCTGGCTGTACGCGGCTTGGCTGGGAAGAGCGGGAGGAGGCGGAGGCGGAGGCGGAGCCACTCCCGCATGCAGATAAGGCGCCGCCGCCGAGCATTATGGGAGAGCACGAAACGGGCTTCGCGGGCCTTCGGAGAGGTCGGGGCTCCATCAGGATGGATCGGTAGATGATGCCCGGCTGCGGGCGAGCGTAGGGAAAGCGAGGACAGAACCCTCGTGCGGGGCTTGGTATGCTCGCTGTGCACTGAAGGGGTGCGGGAGGAGGGCGGGCTCGGGTCCTGTCGAAGCAGAAAGCATACTTACCTGGCAGGGGAGACACCTTGATCATGAAGGAGGTTTTCCCAGGGTGAGGCTCATCCATTGCACTGCGGGTGTGCTGACCCCTGCGATTTCCCCAAATGCGGGAAACTCGACTGCATAATTTGTGGTAGCGGGGGACTGCGTTCGCGCTTTCCCCTGATGACTGGTGTGCAAAAACAGAATTAATGTGCTTTACTCATATTCTTTTTCTAAAAAATGAACATCTCAGGAAGCCGGTCGCACTTTGGTCGCTAAAGTTGCCTGATGATTAGTGCTACTTGCTAGGAATCACAAGTGCCGAAAGAGACATGTCTGTCTGGTTGGTCACCGGTGAGAAGAGTGTTGCACCAAGTACGGGTTGGGTCTCATCCCCGTTCCGTTCTAACATGAACAGATTGCATGTCCACAAGAAACACTGCAAAGTTGTCCTGGCTTTATAAGCTTTTCCACAGACAATTTCATGGAAATATTGTATATATATTGAGTATTCTTCAGGTAATAGCTGAAGGGCATTTCTTTTCCATCTCCCTTTAATTTCCACACTAGTTCTCATGGCGTTCTCATTGCCCACCGCACCCCACGTTTCTTTTTAGTGCCAAGGCACTCGGTCAGGTTCCTGCTTATCCTTTTCGCGGCAACTCTTCTGCCTCCGTTTTGCTCAGTAGCTTTTCCTTGGGAAAGTGCCTCCGATCGCCTTCTCTGTGGTATTTCCGTTAACTACAAGTTAGGTTAACAAAGTTTGTCCCGAGCTGGACTCCGTAGCTAAGGGGTGGGGAATGAGAGGAGCACAGCAATAGAGACGGACCAATTGGACACACAAATGTGAGTAATAACGCCTGAAAGTTAAAGGGACCCCTGACCATTAGGTCCAGTCATGGCCGGCTCTGGGGTTGCGGCGCTCATCTTGCTTTATTGGCCGAGGGAGCCGGCGTACAGCTTCCAGGTCATGTGGCCAGCATGACTAAGCCACTTCTGGAGAACCAGAGCAGCGCACGGAAACGCTGTTTACCTTCCTGCTGGAGCGGTACCTATTTATCTACTTGCACTTTGATGTGCTTTCGAACTGCTAGGTTGGCAGGAGCAGGGACTGAGCAACGGGAGCTCACCCTGTCAGGGGGATTTGAACCACCAACCTTCTGATCGGCAAGCCCTAGTCTCTGTGGTTCAACCCACAGCGCCACCTACATCCCAATAACGCCTTAGGAATCACTGAAATCTATTTCTTCAACATCTGGGGGTGGATAACCAGCCCTGGCCTGTCTCTTAGGCTGTGGAGCCAAACCATGTCTGGTCCTTGCCCTTATAATAATTGTAGTAGTGCAGCTCATGCAACATGTTGGCAATTAATATACACAGAACAATAATTATACATACTTTATCAACCTTCTGAGAAAAATACTAAACATTAAATAAAGTTACAGAGACTTATGAACTGACAAGCCTAAGATGCACTTATAATGTCTGGTTTCAATAGATTTTTCAAATGCTGAACTCAGTCTTTTAGAGAAGTTCATGAAGATACCAACAAAAGGTAAGTTTGTTGTTATTCAAAATACCGAGAGATGCTAGTGGAGTTGTAGAGACAGGGTGCCAGCGTTTTGCACGTGTTTCACCCTGGCAGTCCAAGTAATCAAGAGGCCGCTGTTCACCCCCAATGGGGGGGGGCTTTTACTGGGGCTTGCAGGTAGCACACTCCCAAGATAGTTTTCTGGCCTTCTTCACTGGTCTAATCTCAAAGTCTTGATACAGTGGTACCTCGGATTAAGTACTTAATTCGTTCCGGAGGTACGTACTTAACCTGAAACTGTTCTTAACCTGAAGCACCACTTTAGCTAATGGGGCCTCCTGCTGCCGCTGCGCCGCCGCTGTACAATTTCTGTTCTCATCCTGAAGCAAAGTTCTTAACCTGAGGTACTATTTCTGGGTTAGCGGAGCCTGTAACCTGAAGCGTATGTAACCCGAGGTACATATATTGATATTCAATCTTAGAGAGAATACTCTTTCTTGGCTTAAGTTTAAGAAACTGATTTGCTATTGAAAGCAAACATTGTAAGTTCATCTTAGGCTGGTCAGTTCGCAAGTCTCTGTGGCTTTATTTAATGTTTTGTATTTTTCTCAGAAGGTTGATAAAGTATGTATAATTATTGTTCTGTGTATATTAATCGCCAACGTGTTGCATGAGTCACACTACTTCTATCAGCAGCACAGGTTGCATTTTTCCAGCTTATAATAATTGCAGGCAAGGCGCCGAGGGCTCGACAGTACAGGAACAGAAGCCTTTGGTCGGAGCGGGGCTTGGCTGGGAAGAGCGGGAGGAGGAGGAGGAGGAGGAGCCACTCTCGCATGCAGATAAGCGCTGCCGCAGAGCATTGTGGGGGGGCACGAAACGGGCTTCGCGGGCCTTCGGAGACGTCGCAGATCCGTCAGACTGCGCCGGTAGATGATGCCCGACTGCGAGCGAGTGAAGGGAAGCGGGGACGGGGCCCTCGGGCACGGCTTGGTGTGCTCGCTGTGCTTTGAAGAGGTGCGGGAGGACAGCGGCCCGGGTCCGGTCTGATTGGATAGCATACTTACCTGGCAGGGGAGACACCTTGATCATGAAGGAGGTTTTCCCAGGGCGAGGCTCATCCATTGCACTGCGGGTGTGCTGACCCCTGCGATTTCCCCAAATGCGGGAAACTCGACTGCATAATTTGTGGTAGTGGGGGACTGCGTTCGCGCTTTCCCCTGGACAATTCATGTGCAAAAAAAACAGAAATGATGTAGCTTTCTTACCATTTGCAGCATTTGACTGATGTCCTATATCACCCAAAAGTTTCTACTGTAATATTATTGTCATTTAGTCGTGACCGCACGGACCAGAGCCCGCATGCTGGTAGCTTCGAGAACACTGTCCAACCATCCCGTCCTCGTGTCGTCCCCTTCTCCTTGTGCCCTCCATCTTTCCCAACATCAGGGTCTTTCCAGGGAGTCTTTTCTTCTCATGAGGTGGCCAAAGTATTGGAGCCTCAGCTTCACGATCTGTCCTTCCAGTGAGCACTCAGGGCTGATTTCCTTAAGAATGGAGAGGTTTGATCTTCTTGCAGTCCATGGGACTCTCAAGAGTCTCCTCCAGCACCATAATTCAAAAGCATCAATTCTTCGACCTTCTTTATGGTCCAGCTCTCACTTCCAGTGTAATATATGGGAGGTGTATTTAAAATCGTTACTGTGCAATCCAATGTAAAGGTAAAGATTAAGGAGCCCTGACAGTTAAGTCCAGTCGTGAACAACTCTGGGGTTGCAGTGTTTGTCCACAGACAGTTTTTCCGGGTCATGTGGCCCGCATGACTAAGCCACTCCTGACAAAACCAGAGCAGCACTCGGAAACATCATTTACCTTCCCACAGGTGTGGTACCTATTTATCTACTTGCACTTTTTTTTCTGTTTCGTTTTAAGATCACGTTTTATTTTTCATTCAGAATTGCTGCGGGTTTTCATCATTCCTGCAGGTGGTAACACAAAACTGCTATTTAAGCTGTGCATGTTGACACATACATCATATCAGAGTGACCTATACTCTAATCAAATCTACATTGAAGGAATTAAACTTAAAATGGCACATAGAGAAGAGACTCATAAATATATGGAGCCTTATTGCAACCTTATTGGTTTGTTTATAAGAATTCTATCCTGCCTTTCCACAGAAGACCCCTTAGGCAGCTTACAAAATTTAGCCATATGAAATCAGAATACAGTGGTACCTCAGGTTAAGAACTTAATTTGTTCTGGAGGTCCGTTCTTAACCTGAAACTGTTCTTAACCTGAGGTACCACTTTAGCTAACCATCGCCACACGATTTCTGTTCTCATTCTGAAGCAAAGTTCTTAACCCGAGGTACTATTTCTGGGTTAGTGTAGTCTGTAACCTGAAGCGTCTGTAAACTGAAGTGTCTGTAACCCGAGGTACCACTGTAAAAACATTAACAGTGCACTTTGACGTGCTTTCGAACTGCTAGGTTGGCAGGAGCTGGGACTGAACAATGGGAGCTCACCCAGTTGCGGGGATTCGAACCACCAACCTTCCAAACAGCAAGCCCAAGGCTCAGTGGTTTACACCACAGTATACAAAACAGGAGATATACAAGAAGGTAGAACTCGACTGCAAAATTTGTGATACTGGGGATTGTGTTCATGCTTTCCACTAACTGGTGTTAAAAAAAACCAATTTAGACTGCAGATAGTACTTGATTTGATAATTATTTATTAAAATACAGCAAGTCTGACATTTGTTTTTTATGATGTCTGTTAAATACTTGCTTCGCTGATTGTTTTTCATTCATTTCTTCACAGAGCAGAGGGGTCGCAGGCTGCTGGACAGGTTTCAGCAGGAGGCTTGAGGTGGCTCCTCCATTTGGGGAGGGAGGCGGGGGGTAGCAACTGGGTAACTGCCTTCTAGGGGCTAGTAAAGGGTGGGCTTTTCTTTCTTTTTTTCCAAAATTTTTATTGGTTTTCCAAATTTACAACAAACATAAAAGAAAAGCATTACAATATAAAAAACAAACAAACATACAAACAATTATCCTAACTATTATAATCCCACTTTTGTTACCATTATTGAGTGACTTCCTCAAATCCCCCTAGCTGAGTTTCCATGTAAATCATTGTAGCAGTTTTCCAATACTATTTTCAAATAAGATTAACTTGGTCAATTAACTTCTTTCTTTCTTATCATATTAACTTCTATCCATAATATGCTATTTAACATATTTAACTCCTAAGCCAATATGGTACTCACAAATAATTCTACTTATATAATCTTAGAATATTTGGCTAAATAATCCTTAAATTTCTTCCATTCTTCTTGGTACTCCTCCTCTTTCTGTTCGCAGATTCTTCCGGTCAGGTCAGCCAGCTCCAAAAAGTCCATCATCTTTATCTGCCATTCCTCCACTGTTGGTATTTCTTGTAATTTCCAGTTTTTGGCTAACAGAATTCTTGCTGCAGTTGTGGCATACAAAAACAATCTAATGTCTTTCATGGGCAGTTCCAAACCTATTATTCCAAGTAGAAAGGCCTCTGGTTTTTTTTTATAAATGTATATTTCAACATCTTTTTCAACTCATTATAAATCTTTCCCCAGAAGTCTTTCACCTTGGGACACATCCACCACATATGATAAAAGGTGCCTTCCTTTTCTTTACATTTCCAACATAAATTATCACTCAAATGATAAATCTTTGTTAGTAAACTGGGGTTAAGTACCATCTATACATCATTTTCATTATATTTTCTTTTAGTACAGTACATGCAGTAAACTTAACCCCTTTCTTCAACAACCTTTCCCGATCTTCCAACATTATATTGTGCCCAACATCTCTTGTCCAATCTATCATCACAGATTTGACTTGTTCATCCTTTGTATGCCACTCCAACAGTAAATTATACATTTTCGATAAGTTTTTGACATTAGTATCTAACAACTCCGTTTCTGTAGGAATGAAAATCACGGCAGACGAGCAGTAGGTGTGATGAGAGGCGTCTGCCAGGGCAAGCCCCGGGAACTCTCCTTTATTGAATATTACAAACATTGCCACAGGTGTGCTTGTGGCTGATTGGTTGATACAAAGACAAAGAAACTTGTTGCTCATTGGTTAACATAAGTACAAGGCGGGAATTACATGTGAGAGGTGGGAATTACATGTGAACATTAATCATCGATAGATTAAAGGCTGGGAAACGAGGTTGGAACTAGACAGGCATGAAACCTCCTAATTAAATTATAACTAAAGATTGATATAGCATAAAACAATTACTAATGATTGATCATAACATGAAAGAATATAATAATCGAGTTCCATAGATGTGGTCAGCTATGCATTGAGAACAGGTCATCATGAACTTAAGATGAACTGAGCAAGGAGGGAATGTCTTGGTATTTGGAACAGGTTTCTACAGTGTGTGCAGAAGCAGAAACGAGACTTCCCAGAATGCCAGAGAAAAGAAGCAATACTTCCCATAAGGCCACAGTTATGTGCAGAGAGAGAACTTATGTGCAGAAAGAGAACTTCCCTTCACGTTTCCAATTTGGTTTTTCACGATGCAAAACCATTTTTCTTATCAAGCTTAAACAGTTCATTGATCTGGTAATAATGTAGCCAATCCAATTTATCTTTAATTTGCTCAAATGGTCTTAATTTAAATCCTTCATTATCTTCCAACAATAAATCCGAATATCTCAACCATTTATTCTCCATATTTAACTTTTTCTGGGCCTTCTGGGCTTCCATAGGTGAAGGGTGGGCTTTTCGACTCGCCCCTTCACAGGTGCCTCTCTGCTCCCCCTAGGATGCCCTCAGTTGATCTCCAGGTCACTGTCCTCGCTGAGGCAGGAGGAGGAGGAGGCATCGAGGACAGAGGTGAGGAGCACCAGGTCCTTCTCAGGGAGCAGGCCGCACTCCTGCAGGAAGCCCTCCAGGTCCCCAGCAAAGAAGTCCTCACCCAGTTGGTCAGTGACACGGACAAAGTTGCCCACCAGTTCCCCACCCTTGTAGACCAGGAGTGCCGGCAGGGCGCTGGTGGTGAAGCGGGAGCTGGCGCCGATCAGGGAGCTCCGCACCCGGCAGAACTTGACCACGGGGTACTCAGTGGCCAGGCAGACCATGCATCCGTGGAGGGAGTCGGCCCCTGGGACATCATCCTCGTAGACATGGACCATCACCAGGGAATTCTTGGGCGCTTTGTCGATGGTGTCCAGGAAGGCCTCCCCACTGTGGATCTCGACAACCTGCTGGAAGTGCTGCCCGCCACGCAGCTGCAGCCGCATCTCCTCCATGCGCTGCTTGCGGTACTGCTGCAGGAACTCCTCGTCATCTGGGCCCTCACGCAGCGCGCTGTACTCCTGCAGAGTTAGCTTGCCATCCAGCTTTTCCTGGAGCTCCTGCTGCTTCCGCTTGTCCTCCTCATCGTCCAGGTGGGACCTGCATGTCATCGAGAGCTTCTGGATGAGGCGCTTCATCTCCCGGCACTGTTCCTCTCGCTGCTCTGTCTCCAGCTGCTTGAATCTCCTCCAGTCGTTGATCACCCCTTTGGGGCCTGTGTTTACCGAACTGCTATCGCTGCTCGGACTCTTTGACATGGCCATCTGTTGGTTAGTGGGGTCGCAGCATGCTGTTAAGCTCCCTTTCCGCATTGCTAGTGCCACACAGTCTTCGAAAGATTTGAAATTATTCTTTGTAGGCAAGGAAGGTAAGACAAACAAATTCCCTGACAGGTCTCCTGCCACTCTTTCCCCTTGTTCCTGTGTAACTCTTTCTGCAGAATGTGGTTTGGAAGAGACTTCTAGATCTACAGTATGTTTCACACAAGGAAGAATGTAAGCTAGAAGAAAACAGAGAGGTAGTTTAGTGGAAGAAGGCAGCTCAAAGTATAAGTGTTGGAACGACAGGAATACATAGGGCTCAGGATCTGCGAGGAAGGAAATGGTTAGAAAAGGGCATCCATGGAAAATACTGATTGCTGAAATCTTGGGTTGAAAAAACAAAACAAACCTCTCAACATTTCTTTAAGGAACAGAGGAGAACAGTACTTCAGATCTAGACAGGGATCAAAGCCACTACATATTCCTGTGCAAAGGGCTTTTGCTAGCCTAGTGCCCCCCCCCCAGCTTGAAAATGATGCTTTCAAAAGTAGTTTGCCATGAGGCATTGTTAGGATCCAAGCAGTCTGGTTAGGAGGTGCAAGGAACTAACTGTCAGGCTAAGTGAGGCAGGTAGGCTTGTGCTGCTCACGTCAAATTGGGCGCCAGAAGGCCGATCCTGATAAGGATCTGGTGTGTGGAGCCAAAAAGGCTCCTGATTTAGAGAAACAGAGCATTTTCGAGGGCTTGCTCCACTCTTTAACCTGCTAGATATTGCTGTGTGACCACCGCTGTGCTCTTGTCTGCAGCACTTTGCAGTGGAGTAAGAAAATCAGCAGGAACCTGCTGCTCTTCTGCAGTGTGCACACACACCCTGAGTTTTTCCTGTGTGTTATCACATGCCTGCAATTCCTCCTGCTGCACCCGTTTTTCTTGCACCGCCCCCCCCCAGACACTGATTCCTCCTTCACCCCATTTTCCACAGCAGGCTCCCAAGGAGTGGAGAAATCTGGCAGAAGCTCCTCAGCTCCAGGTAGTGCATCCTTCTGGGTTTTTTAACACCAGTTAAGCATGAACACAATCCCCGGTATCACAAATTATGCAGTCGAGTTCTACCTTCTTGTTATGTTTTGTATATTCTATATCAGATTGCACAGTAACAATTTTAAATACACCTCGCACTAGAACTACCTTCTTGTTATGTTTTGTATATTCTATATCAGATTGCACAGTAACAATTTTAAATACACCTCGCACTAGAAACTTTTGAACGATAGGCTTCAGCCGGGAGTCCTGCAAAAAAACAGGCATCAGTCACATGCCACCAAAAGCAAAGAAACTACATTGCTTCTAGACTTTTCATTTCTTTTTTTTGCACATGAATTGCCAGGGGAAAGCGCGAACGCAGTCCCCCACTACCACAAATTATGCAGTCGAGTTTCCCGCATTTGGGGAAATCGCAGGGGTCAGCACACCCGCAGTGCAATGGATGAGCCTCACCCTGGGAAAACCTCCTTCATGATCAAGGTGTCTCCCCTGCCAGGTAAGTATGCTTTCTCATCAAACCGGACCCGGGCCACCGTCCTCCCGCACATCTTCATGGCACAGCGAACATACCAAGCCCTGCCCAAGGGCCCCGTCCCCGCTTCCCTTGGCTTGCTCGCAGTCGGGCATCATCTACCCGTCCAGCCTGACGGACCCTGACCTCTCCGAAGGCCCGCGAAGCCCGTTTCGTGCTCCCCCATAATGCTCCACGGCGGCACCTCATCTGCATGTGGGAGTGGCTCCGCCTCCACCTCCTCCTGCTCTTCCCAGCCAAGCCCCGCTCTGGCCAAAGGACTCTGTTCCTTTGTACAGTACATTGTACTGTCGAGCCCTCCGCGCCTGCCTGCAATTATTATAAGCTAGAAAAATGCAACACGTTGGTGATTAATATACACAGAACAATAATTATACATACTTTATCAACCTTCTGAGAAAAATACAAAATATTAAATAAAGCCACAGAGACTTGCGAACTGACCAGCCTAAGATGAACTTACAATGTCTGCTTTCAATAGCAAATCAGTTTCTTAAACTTAAGCCAAGAAAGAGTATTCTTTATAAGATTGAATATCAATATACGTATCAAGACTTTGAGATTAGACCACTGAAGAAGCCTGGAAAACTATCTTGGGAGTATGCTACCTGCAAGCCCCAGTAAAAGGCCTCTTGATTACTTGGACTGCCAGGGTGAAACAGGTGCAAAACGTTGGCACCCTGTCTCTACAACTCCACTAGCATTTGTCGGTATTGTGAATAACACTGAACTTACCTTTTGTTGGTATCTTCATGAACTTCTCTAAAAGACTGAGTTAAGCATTTGAAAAATCAGACATTGTAAGTTCATCTTAGGCTGTATACATCTGTATACATCTTAGTATGTATAATTATTGTTCTGTGTATATTAATTGCCAACATGTTGTATGAGCCGCACTACTATAATTATTATAAGGGCAAGGACCAGACATGCTTTGGCTCCACAGCCTAAGAGACAGGCCGGGTCTGGTAATCCACCCCCAGACGTAGAAGAAATAGATTTCAGTGATTCCTAAGGCATTATTGGGATGCGGGTGGCACTGTGGGCCTAGGGCTTGCCTATCAGAAGGACGGCAGTTCGAATCCCCGCAACAGGGCGAGCTCCTGTTGCTTGGTCCCAGCTCCTGCCAACCTAGCAGTTCAGAAGCACGTCAAATTGCAAGTAGATAAATAGGTACCGCTCCGGCGTGAAGGTAAATGGCGTTTCCATGCGCTGCTCTGGTTCGCCAGAAGCGGCTTAGTCATGCTGGCCACATAACCCGGAAGCTGTACGCCGGCTCCCTTGGCCAGTAAATCGAGATGAGCGCCGCAACCCCAGAGTCGGCCATGACTGGACCTAATGGCATAGGCGCCGACTCCATGGGGCTTGAGGGGGCCCGAGCCCCCTCAAAAATTCGTTTGGGGGGGCTCTGCCCCCCCAATAATCTCCGGCGCCCCTCCAGCAGAGCGCCATCGCCGCCCCTCCCCCAGCCCAAAATGCACAGGGAGGGGCGGGCTGCATGCCTCCTGCCCTCCCTCCCGAGCAAAAGCTCCACCCAATTTCCTTTGGAGCTGATTAATAGGCGCAGCACGCTCTCCCCTATTCGCTCACGAGGAGGCGGCGCCACTTTATTTGCATATTCATGAGCTTATTTATTATTCATGAGCTTTCCCGGCCCCCCCCAATATTTTTTATAAGTCCGTGTCCCTGCCTAATGGTCAGGGGTCCCCTTACCTTTCAGGTGTTATTACTCACATTTGTCTGCCCAATTGGTCCGCCTCTATTGCTGTGCTCCTATTGCTCTATTGCTGTGCTCCTCTCATTCCCCACCCCTCAGCTACAGAGTCCAGCTCGGGACAAACTTGTTAACCAAACTTATAGTTAACAGAAATACAGTGGTACCTCGGGTTAAGTACTTAATTCGTCTGTGGAAAAGCTTATAAAGCCAGGACAACTTTGCAGTGTTTCTTGTGGACATGCAATCTGTTCATGTTAGAACGGAACGGGATGTCTTTTCGGCACTTGTGATTCCTAGCAAGTAGCACTCATCATCAGGCAACTTTAGCGACCAAAGTGCACCAGCTTCCTGAAATATTCATTTTTTAAAATCAGAATCACGATGAACGTGGAATACAAGGTAGAAGAAGAATATGAGTAAGGCACATTAATTCTGTTTTTTGTACACCAATCATCAGGGGAAAGCGCGAACGCAGTCCCCCACTACCACAAATTATGCAGTCGAGTTTCCCGCATTTGGGGAAATCGCAGGGGTCAGCACACCCGCAGTGCAATGGATGAGCCTCACCCTGGGAAAACCTCCTTCATGATCAAGGTGTCTCCCCTGCCAGGTAAGTATGCTTTCTCATCAGACCGGACCCGGGCCGCCGTCCTCCCGCACCCCTTCAAAGCACAGCGAACATACCAAGCCACCCCCACCCCCAGGGCCCCGTCCCCTCTTCCCTTCGCTCGCTCGCAGTCGGGCGTCATCTACCCGTCCAGCCTGACGGACCCTGACCTCTCCGAAGGCCCGCGAAGCCCGTTTCGTGCTCCCCCATAATGCTCTGCGGCGGCGCCTTATCTGCATGCGAGAGTGGCTCCGCCTCCTCCCGCTCTTCCCAGCCAAGCCCCGCTCCGCCCTTTGGCCTCTGTTCCAGCGGCCGCCTCGGTTGTAGTCCTTTACTCTCGAGCCCTCGGCGCCTTGCTTGCAATTCTTATAAGGGCAAGGACCAGACACGCTTTGGCTCCACAGCCCAAGGGACAGGCCGGGGCTGGTTATCCACCCCCAGACGTTGAAGAAACAGATTTCAGTGATTCCTAAGGCGTTATTACTCACATTTGTCCGCCCAAGTGGTCCGCCTCTATTGCTGTGCTCCTCTCATTCCCCACCCCTCAGCTACGGAGTCCAGCTCGGGACAAACTTGTTAACCAAACTTATAGTTAACAGAAATACAGTGGTACCTCGGGTTAAGTACTTAATTCGTTCAGGAGGTCCGTTCCTTAACCTGAAACTGTTCTTAACCTGAAGCACCACTTTAGCTAATGGGGCCTCCCGCTGCCGCCGAAGCACGATTTCTGTTCTCATCCTGAAGCAAAGTTCTTAACCTGTAGCACTATTTCTGGCTTAGTGGAGTGTGTAACCTGAAGCGTATGTAACCCGAGGTACCACTGTACTACAGAGAAGGCGATCGGAGGCACTTTCCCAAGGAAAAGCTACTGAGCAAAACGGAGGCAGAAGAGTTGCTGCGGAAAGGATCCGCAGGACCTGACCGAATGCCTTAGCATTAAAAAGAAACGTGGGGTGCGGTGGGCAATGGGAACGCCATGAGAATAACTAGGTTGGAAATTAAAGCGAGATGGAAAAGAAACCTTCTTCAGCTATTACCTGAACAATGCTCAATATATATACAAGATTTCCACGAATGCCGTAGGATGGCGCTACTGCAAAGCCATTGTCTGCGGGAAAGCTTATAAAGCCAAGGCAACTTCGCAGTGTTTCTTGTGGAAATGCAATCTGTTGATGTTAGAACGTAAGAAAACGGGAAGGAGACACAACACGCACTTGGTGCAACGCTCTTCTCCCGGGGACCAACCAGGCAGTCGAGTCTCTTGCGGATCCCACAAGGAGACCAGAGCAAAGGATCCCTTCGGCACTCGTGACTCCCAGCAAGTAGCACTCATCGGCGCGCAACTTTACTGACCAAAGCGCGACCAGTTTCCTCAGACGTTCATTTTTTCAAATCAGAATCGCGAACAATTTGAGCGTGAAATACAACGTAGAAAAATAATATGAACAAAGCACATTTATTCTGTTTTTTGCACACGAGTCACCAGGGGAAAGCGCGAACGCAGTCCCCCACTACCACAAATTATGCAGTCGAGTTTCCCGCATTTGGGGAAATCGCAGGGGTCAGCACACCCGCAGTGCAATGGATGAGCCTCACCCTGGGAAAACCTCCTTCATGATCAAGGTGTCTCCCCTGCCAGGTAAGTATGCTTTGCGTGGCGAGTTCCCGCCCCCCACCAAGATAAATAAACACACGAGACACCATAATTAAGGTTAATTGGGCGAATTAGGCCACAACTTTATTGAATTCAGGAATGAGAGGCATTGGCTTAGGCATTGGTCCTATCGACTATCCGGCTCCAGCCCATTTGCTGGAGACACGGGGAAGGGTTAACACTAATCGGGGGAGTCTCCCGCTGAGGCACGTCGGCTAAGAGCTCCCCCGGGTCACCGCTCTGGGGCGTGCCTTTGGCCCTCACCTCCATAGGCTTCGGACAGGGCCACGCCCCCCGGAGTCCTTTAACGGACCACCCTTCGTTCATTGGGGGGAGGTGATGGCGTTCCTCCCCCCCCACACATCCTCTTAACCCCATCTTACCAATGCCTACCGCCAATGCCGAAGAGTTGTGACGAGTTGCTACGAGGTAGGCGAAAAACCAAAAGGCTGTAAATGACCGATTGGGAAAAATTCCTACCATGCCCCTTGCGGCGACAGACCGAAGTCCATAGCAAAGTCAGACCTACCTAAGAACCCCAACTAAAGGGAGGGAGGGTGGGAAAACGTGGGGGCTAGCCGGAGAAGAGAGGGCGAGCCCCCTCCGCTCCGGCCCTAAATAGGGCAAGCCACGCCCCCCCCAGCCAGCCGATTGGCTGGCTGGGAGGCGTGGACGATCGGGATTCCCCTGTTCTCGCGGGGGCTGAACCCAGCCCCGCTCACGTGGGGAGGGCGTGATGCCCGCAACCCCACCTCCTGGGGCAAGCCCGGAAGTGGCTTTGCGTGGCGAGTTCCCGCCCCCCACCAAGATAAATAAACACACGAGACACCATAATTAAGGTTAATTGGGCGAATTAGGCCACAACTTTATTGAATTCAGGAATGAGAGGCATTGGCTTAGGCATTGGTCCTATCGACTATCCGGCTCCAGCCCATTTGCTGGAGACACGGGGAAGGGTTAACACTAATCGGGGGAGTCTCCCGCTGAGGCACGTCGGCTAAGAGCTCCCCCGGGTCACCGCTCTGGGGCGTGCCTTTGGCCCTCACCTCCATAGGCTTCGGACAGGGCCACGCCCCCCGGAGTCCTTTAACGGACCACCCTTCGTTCATTGGGGGGAGGTGATGGCGTTCCTCCCCCCCACACATCCTCTTAACCCCATCTTACCAATGCCTACCGCCACCGAGCAGCCGCTCGCCGCCAATACTCTCATGCCTGAATCCACTCCATTAACCCCTTTGCAATATCCCCAAGCCAGACGTCATTACCAGCATCCGAAAGATGCACGCCATCATACCGGTAGAGGGCCTCAAGGTTGAAACGAATGCCCGGGTGGCCAATCACCATCCCACCCAGGGCTGCCACTCTACGCACCACCGCCCGATCCAAGGCTTTCCTAGCCCTATTGATAGCTATCGGGCACCTGCAGTCTCTCCAAATCCGCCTCTCCATCAGTGAGGCCCAAATAATTGTGACATTCGGGTAAGCAGCCTTCAGCTCCTCGAAGTCGCTAAAAATGTGCCACTGCAGGTCAACTGCCTTCCTGTAGGCTAGGTCGTTTTCCCCCAATTGTATCAACAAAGCGTCTGGGGGGCCCTCCACTGCAGCTCTGGCCTTAACCGCGGGCAGCAACTCGGCCCAGCGCATTCCCCTCCGGGAGACCCAGGAAATGGTGACGTCAGGTAGGCCCAGGTGCGGCCCGAGACCGGTAGTGATGGCGCGGACCCTGGCCCAATGCACAATACTGTGCCCGATAATCCAGACGCGCACCCCCATATCACCTGTAGGAGATTGAAAAAAACAAACCATGGTCAGTCACCGTCACAAATTCTTCCTCAAATAGCGTCTGTATGCGTCAGATTTCCAGCGCCCTAAGTCCCTAATCCTCTCAGTCGTAAGACCCAGGTGCATTGCCGTGGTGGCTGCTCCTATCCTGAAAGAATGTGAAGCAAAATCTGCTGCGGGGATGCCGCATGCTGCCAGAGCTAGGCGCATGACCCGAGTGAACTGGTGACGCGTCAAAGGTAAACCATCTGCATGTATCAACAGAGGCCCTGCCGAGTTGACCCTCAGGGATAAGAAGCGCCTTGTGTCTTTAACTGGACATGGGCCAGGGCTACCGGTGGCCATAAGCTGAACAAGAGCCCCCCTCCCATACTGGTCGGTTTTAGAGCTGCGTATCCGTACTACCAGGTCCTCCCGTGACAGGGTAACGTCACTTAGCAGCAAGCCCCGGGAGAAACCGTGCTGACCCGCTTCATAAACTAACTCACCCACACGCAGAGCTCCAAAAAAGGCAATGGAGTAAGCCGCTGAAAATAATCGTGCCTCATACTTTGACCAGCATACTGTTCGCAATTTTTTATGGATTTGGGAAAGGATGTCGAATGTTATCGGCCTCCTCATATCGTGGTTTGGGGGCTGTAGCCTGCGCCAACCCTCTAGTGTCCTTCGTATAACAAAATCGTCACAAGGATCAGTGGAAAATACCGTCTTGCAAAAGAATGAAATTGCCGCGGCTTGAAGGTTGAGGGTTCTAGGGGCGCGGCCCAAGCGTCTCAGGTAAACTAGGTAAGCTAGCACCTCTGATTTGACGGGAGGGGCACTGCTTCTGATGGTGCGGGTTTTGCTGCGGAATTTTAAAAAATCCGCCCAAGCCTTCTTATACGATCTCAAAGTGGAAGGTGCCACTGAGGCCATTACTCCCTGAATGACTTCCGGCTCCCAGGATTCTGGTCCCCATGCCTCTGGTCCCCGAGCCTCCACAGATGTTCCGGGAATGGCTGAGGCAGCAGCTCTGCATCCGGTGCTAATGAGCGGAAGCGGTCCATCTGAAAGCGAGATAAGGCGTCCGCAATGTCATTATTTACACCAGGCACAAATTTTGCTGAGAAGTGTATGTTGAGCTCTAAGCACCGGAGAACGAAAGAACGCAGGAGGCCGCCTACCCTTGGTGACCGTGCGACCTGCCTGGAAAGTACCGCCACTACGGCCTGGTTGTCTGTGTGGAAGCACACCCTATGGTTTCTAAAGGTTTCAGGCCACAAGTGCACCGCCACTACGATTGGAAAGAATTCGAGGAAGGTTAAGTCTCTAGTAATGGGACCCCCTTGCCAGGCGGCGGGCCAACGCTGGGCACACCATTGGCCCCTAAAGTAAACACCAAATCCCAGAGAGCCGGAAGCATCCGAATGGACCTGGAAGTCAACCTGCAGCGACAGGTTGTCCTGCCACAGGGAAATACCGTTATAGTTCTGCAAAAACTCCAACCAGACTTCCAGGTCAGACTTCACTTCCTTGGATAGCCGAACCCTATGATGAGGGGAACGCAGTCCCGCTGACAACTTCGCGAGGCGGCCGCAGAATGGGCGGCCAGGGGAAACCACGCGGCAAGCAAAATTTAAGTG